AAAACTAAAATGAATGACAGAATCTCTTCAACAGGAACAAGTATATATGTTGAGTTATGTTCAAATTTATCAAATGCTTTTCATCAATGCCCCACGGCGGTTGTGTCAGGATATTCATAAAATTTGCATTTGGGGTGGCATAGCACCTTATACAACAACATAGCAAGTGTACGGCCAGTTTATCAAGACTACTTGCATCAACAACAAAATGCTATCCTGGAGGTGACTGTTGGTTTTGGCACCTCCAGTCTGCCTTATGCAGTTACCATGTGTGCATGTTTCTTGAGTATGGGGACTCATTATTGATTCATTTTTAAATTGAAAAATGTGGAGAACTGTGTGGGATTCTGGCACAGGAACTGAGCAATTATGGCTGGACGGTTGCAGCAAAGTTGAAAGCCTGATGACCAGTTTCTGAATTTAGAGAGAGCTCAGCTGAAACTTCAAATTAGTCCACAAATTCTGATCAACTACTGCCTGCAAATAATAGTTCTAGGATGGTCAGTTTAAGGCCAACCAACACAACTAGTTAACAATACCCTACCAATACAACTAGTTAATAATACCATACCAATACAACTAGTTGTCGGCTCTTTGGCTAAGTCGATGCGAACGCTTCGCTTCGTAATGCCGGGATGCCGGGTTCGATCCCAGCTGCGGGCAATGCGCCTTGCGTTGGTTTCGACAGTGGTATCAAGAAAGCCGACCGTCCAGCAAGCAATGGCAAACTACTGGATGTAACTTGCCTAGAGAAACCACATAACAGCCAGGGGCTGTTGGGGTTGGTTCTGCAACGTCCTGTAAAGGATACACAACTTTAAGAGAGAGAGAATACAACTAGTTAACAATACCATACCAACACAACTAGTTAACAATACCATACCAACACAACTAGTTAACAATACCATATCAACACAACTAGTTAACAATACCCTACCAATACAACTAGTTAACAATACCATATCAACACAACTAGTTAACAATACCCTACCAATACAACTAGTTAACAATACCATACCAATACAACTAGTTAATAATACCATACCAATACAACTAGTTAATAATACCATACCAACACAACCAGTTAACAATACCCTACCAATACAACTAGTTAACAATACCATACCAACACAACCAGTTAACAATACCCTACCAATACAACTAGTTAACAATACCATACCAACACAACTAGTTAACAATACCCTACCAATACAACTAGTTAACAATACCATACCAACACAACCAGTTAACAATACCCTACCAATACAACTAGTTAACAATACCATACCAACACAACTAGTTAACAATACCCTACCAACACAACTAGTTAACAATACCATACCAATACAACCAGTTAATAATACCCTACCAATACAACTAGTTAACAATACCATACCAACACAACTAGTTAACAATACCCTACCAACACAACTAGTTAACAATACCCTACCAACACAACTAGTTAACAATACCATACCAACACAACCAGTTAACAATACCATACCAACACAACTAGTTAACAATACCATACCAACACAACTAGTTAACAATACAATCAGATAGACAAGGATATAATATACACTGAGGAAATAGTTAATGATATAAATAGGTGGACAGACAAGAAACACACCGAGGAAGTAGTTAATGATATAAATATGTGGACAGACAAGAAACACTTTGAGGAAGTAGTTAATGATATAAATATGTGGACAGACAAGAAACACTTTGAGGAAGTAGTTAATGATATAAATAGGTGGGCAGACAAGAAACACACTGAGGAAGTAGTTAATGATTTAAATATGTGGACAGACAAGAAACACTTTGAGGAAGTAGTTAATGATATAAATAGGTGGACAGACAAGAAACACATTGAGGAAGTAGTTAATGATATAAATATGTAGACAGACAAGAAACACATTAAGGAAGTAGTTAATGATTTAAATAGGTGGACAGACAAGAAACACAATGAGGAAATAGTTAATGATATAAATAGGTGGACAGACAAGAAACACATTGAGGAAGTAGGTAATGATATAAATAGGTGGACAAACAAGAAACATCTTTGAGGAACTAGGTAATGATATAAATAGGTGGACAAACAAGAAACACTTTGAGGAACTAGGTAATGATATAAATATGTGAACAAACAAGAAACACTTTGAGGAACTAGTTCTTAATACAACTTGACAGACACACTAAACATTGAGAAAATAATGATTTAACTAGATGGATAGGATACACATTAGGAACCTAGTTAACAATATCACTAGAAGGACATGACATATACTAAGAACCTAGTTAACAATATCACTAGAAGGACATGACATATACTAAGAACCTAGTTGACCATGTAACTAGAAGGACATGACATATACTAAGAACCTAGTTGACCATGTAATTAGAAGGACATGACATATACTAAGAACCTAGTTGAGCATGTAACTAGAAGGACATGACATATACTAAAAACCTAGTTGACCATGTAACTAGAAGGACATGACATATACTAAGAGCCTAGTTGACCATGTAACTAGAAGGACATGACATATACTAAGAACCTAGTTAACAATGTAACTAGAAGGACATGACATATACTAAGAACCTAGTTAACAATGTAACTAGAAGGACATGACATATACTAAGAACCTAGTTGACCATGTAACTAGAAGGACATGACATATACTAAGAACCTAGTTAATAATGTAACTAGAAGGACATGACATATACCAAGAACCTAGTTAATAATGTAACTAGAAGGACATGACATATACCAAGAACCTAGTTAACCATATAACTAGAAGGACAAGACATATACCAAGAACCTAGTTAACAATATAACTAGAAGGGCATGACATATACTAAGAACCTAGTTGACCATGTAACTAGAAGGACATGACATATACTAAGAACCTAGTTGACCATGTAACTAGAAGGACATGATATATACTAAGAACCTAGTTGACCATGTAACTAGAAGGACATGACATATACTAAGAACCTAGTTGACCATGTAACTAGAAGGACATGACATATACTAAGAACCTAGTTGACCATGTAACTAGAAGGACATGGCATATACTAAGAACCTAGTTGACCATGTAACTAGAAGGACATGGCATATACTAAGAACCTAGTTAACCATATAACTAGAAGGACATGACATATACTAAGAACCTAGTTGACCATGTAACTAGAAGGACATGACATATACTAAGAACCTAGTTGACCATGTAACTAGAAGGACATGACACATACTAAGAACCTAGTTGACCATGTAACTAGAAGGACATGACATATACTAAGAACCTAGTTGACCATGTAACTAGAAGGACATGACATATACTAAGAACCTAGTTGACCATGTTACTAGAAGGACATGACATATACTAAAAACCTAGTTGACAATGTAACTAGAAGAGCAAGATATATACTGAGGAACCATCTTGTAACAGAGCTAGCTGACATGTTACACCTTAAAGAACCAGTTAGAAACATAGCTACAGACAAGGAATGACAAAGACGGGAAATCAGTGGGGCAGTTTATAGCAGGGATAAGGGTATATTCTCCATACAAGGTTGGAGAGACATTTGATTCTTCACTCAGATGTCTTTGGTCTAGATTTTGCTGGCTTGCACGGAGATGGCAAGATGTATGATGGTGTTGGAGGGGCGATATTGGCAATCATGCTTTTCCTAGGAGAAACTGAAGCTGACCTCATGACAACTTCTGTTAGACTCAGTTCCGTCTGGATGCTCACAGATTTGGTTGGGCGAAGATCAGTGATGCTTCTCAATGGCAGGCTTCTGGCAATTTCTGCAGGAGAAATTCCCTTGAAGATGGATCTAGGAGGCATCAAAACTGTTGGTACAGGGGGACTACCAGTGGCAACACCTCTGCCCAGAACAGTGACCGATGGTCGCTGCCCTGACAGCTCAGCCCTCCTCCCAAATGCCTGCGCATAGAACTGCTGCCTTGGGGGTCGGAGCAGATGCAGTCTTCCTGAGGGATTTGTGTTTGACAACAAGACGGGTGACGGTGGTTCATCTAAGTAGAAGGGCATAAACAACATTGGCTTTGGTGGACTGAACTGGTCTATTCCAGGGAGAGTACCTGCTGTAGGAGATATAGGCTCATTTTCAGTTGAGGTTTGAAATGAGCTCCTAATAAGCTCAGCTATTTTTGTGTTGTAGCAACCTTCAGACAATTCTGTCTTGCCCATGGAAGAAAAATGCTCAGCCTCGTTAACAGCATCATCAATGCAGGCTATCTCAGCCTGACAACCTGCAATATGCTGCTGCAGTACCCTTTCACTTCCCTTCAGACATTCATCAGGTTCATAATCTTGAAGAGTCGTCAGTACCACAGATTTTTGTCCATCAGGTGATGTCTCATTGCAGCATCGAGTCGGTCCCCCAGACTTCTCTGCAGATTGAACCCTGACGCTGGTAGGCACCCTGACAATGGCTTTAGGTGGGCTGACTACGCTGGTGACATAGTTGAACCCTTTCATCACCACTTTATTAGCACGGTCCAATACTGGCTTCACAGGGGATATTGGCCAGTTGTGGTCTCTCAATGGTGGTGGAGATGTCAGCCTGGACTTGGTGACCTGCTCCACCGAATATTCATTTCTGGGACTTCTTGTTGTGACAATCTGCTCTACTATGTACTCATTGCTTGGATTTTTGGAAAGCTTGAATGAAACAGTTTTGGCCAAAATGTCTTCCTCTGTTTTAGGAACTGCTGACTCTTTGTCAGCCTTTACCTGCGATTGCTGATTCACAATAATCTGCTGTTTCTGAGGACTAGTAACAACAGTCTGCTGTTTCTGAGGACTAATAATAACAGTCTGTTGTTGTTTCTGAGGACTAGTGGATTTTAATTCTGGCTTAGGATCTGAATTTGGGATATTCTGTGGGCTGGGAACTTTCTGACTGGCCATCTTTGCAGTTTTGCTTGCTTCCTTTGAGGACTTGGGGTCAGGTAATGTGGTAGAATCCTAAAGCGAACTAGCTGATTTTGATTTCTGTGTTGGTACTCTTCCCATATCTGATAACTGTGACACTGAATTCAGCCAGGATGAGACTCCTATAGGAAATATACAAGGGCATTGTTAAACATGTTAACTCACCTTCTGACAAAAAATCAGGTCTAACCTTTCAATAACCAAATCTAACAGCCCACATTAAGCTAGTGGCTTCTGGTGGAAAAGCACATTGGGGAAGATACTAGAATTAACCCAGGAAGAGGAGATGCACCCTAAAAACATAATGGCCTTAACCTTGGATGGCAGCTGGTCTAGGAGGAAACTGACAGGCAAACAGACACAGAACCACTCTTCTGACCAGAGCTATTCAATTGGCGGCTGTGGGCCAAATCTGGGTCCAGAGGTCTAGCAAGTGACCCGCGGATCACACAATTGTATTAATGGCCTTTCTATGCTGAGGACTCAGGCCTCTGCCTTGCAAGGATCCATATTTTCCAACACTGGCTCCCGAGCCAACTTAGTTGAATAGTCCTGCTATAAACGTACTGCAGTTAGCTTTCCTTTTAGACTAAAGGCAGGCTCAGAGAGGGGTCTAGTTGCATGGGCAACACATGGTCTCTACAACACTGCTCAAGCTTTGTGCTATGAAGAGGAGGACTTTCCTCCCTGGGCTTGTGGAAAACTTGTCTTAATGAGAGCAGGTCTTTCTAATCACGCACACCATCACCATGGGCAGCGACTCCTATGCTTTCCTATAGCATAATGTTGCTGTTTGTGTTCACCAGCTGTAAACCCTGGCGGAAAGACCTGGTTGTTCAACCATTTCTGGACCTAGAATTTGTTCTAGAACCTGAGTTTTGCATGTGCATCCATTTTACAGATCTTGCTTATCTGTATGCAGACTAATGCTTCCTTGCTTCTCAGGCAGATGCACTTTGATTTTGAAGGAAGCCCCTGATTAGTCGACTCTTAGAAATGTTTGTTGAGGATTCAAGGGGTCTATTCTTGTTTTCCTCACAAAGGGATCCCCGGAACCCAAATGTGAATATAGCATAATATATTATTACCATCTGGAAATATGGAATTCTGCCAGCAAAAAACCCCCATCATTAACCACACAGTATAATGATTACTGACTGAAGAACTGACATCACAGCACACCCATAGGTGCTCCATCTCCCACAGCAAATGTCTTAAGACGTAGATGCTTACTGTTCCCGTAGCATATGTTCTTTTCCTCTCATTCGCTCCTCCTTGCCTGATCCACACATAATTACTCGTTCCCACATTCTTACAAATTATTTCATCTCAACTCGTGTCCTCTATAAGTATTCATTCATAAACGGTCTCCTTTGTCCAGTACGACCACACAGAGTCATACAGTCTTCTGCTTTTCCACATTCTCCTTATTCTATGATTTATTTTCACTCCTCTTCTTTTTCTTCTACCCTTCATTTTCCAGACTCCCAACCAACTGATGTAAGCTATTTATAGAACTGTTCATGACTGGCTGGATTCACACACTGGCTTAGGAGGTTATAGACATAGTTCACAATTCTTGCATGCCCAGTTTGACTGAGCTGCAGATGATCAGGCAGCAGACCAATGGCAAGCGAGCAATGGCAAACTTATGAAAGTACACCTGACTAATAAAACCACAACAGCCAACAAATACTGCGGCTGGTTTGTGACATTCTGGAAAAAATATGCAGCTAGCTGTTTAGTTATTTCATGAAACACACTCAAGTTCTGGCTGAGTGGTTAAGAGCCCTGAGCTCTCAATCAAGTTTGAATTCTCTGTAAGGTGATGGATGACTGTCCTAGCCATGCCACCTGAAATCCCCAGGCTCAAAACCCCCTGAACTTCAAAGTGGGCAGTAAAGACATTTAAAAAAAAAAAAAAAAAAAAAAAAAAAAAAAAAAAATAAAGAATTGTAAAATCTCGGTAACACAAACTGGAACGAATAAAAAATTCAAGAGCCTGTGATAAAAGAACGTGTGTTAACAGGGCACTGATAAATGTATTATGAATGAATACATTCCTCATGGGACCAAGATATTGTTTATGTTAACCAAGTGTTTGTGTTAAAGAGGATTTACTGTAGCAGTCTCACCTGAATTCCAGTATTCCTTGCTTGAGATATCGGTCAAAGATGGAATCTACACAAACATAAAATGCTAATATTACTGCCACTTCTAACTAGGAACTACAGTAGCGAGAATGCAACTTTGCCAGCATGGTGATCATGTGTCCAAATCTCCATGAACTCTTTCAGTACCAAGAAATTCTTCATAGGTTCACTGGTTACACTATATAAGGTTCATATTTCTGTACTTCTCCTATCCCATTTTTCTGTTATGTTAACCCTTTATGTCCCAGTTGTTACTAAACACCTTCTCTCCCACAAAGGTACTGTTCAGCTCTAGAAGACTCAAACATTGTTTATTTCAGTGACCGGCTCACCCACGGGTTAGCTAGTAGACGACTTTGTTGTCTGTCAGGACTATCTCTTTTGATTGCTTCAACACTGCAGGAGTCTCTTTTGGGGCTCTTGGTGGTGTGCAGTGCTAAGCTATTTCATTTGGGGCACATAACCTAGTCACAATTATAACCTAAAGCTCTCCCTTCCCAATTATAAACTAAGCTCCCGCTTCACAATAATAAACTAAGCTCCCGCTTCACAATTATAAACTAAGCTCCCGCTTCACAATTATAAACTAAGCTCCCGCTTCACAATTATAAACTAAGCTCCCGCTTCACAATTATAAACTAAGCTCCCGCTTCGGGGATGCTGGTTAAATATGACGATTTCTTTCTCCCAGCAAAGCACCTACTGGTGACATTGCTGCTCTAGGACACAAACACTTTAGGACACACTATTGAATTTAACACTATCTGGAAGCTCTAGGACACAAACACTTTAGCACAGACACTATTGAATTCAATACTATCTGGGAGCTCTAGGACACAAACACTTTAGCACAGACACTATTGAATTCAACACTATCTGGGACTGAAAGTCTTACGGTTAGAATGTTTAAAAAATTAATCCTAGCCCACAGGCTGATGCAATATACAATGAGTGGCAGGAAATGGTATGGGAAGTAAAGGTGATCAACATGATAATGCCCACATAATCCAGTGAGTGCTAAAATTATACAGTTGAAGTGGGTTTCCGTGAATTACAAATGCAAATCTGGAGGGGACATATTTAAAAACTGAGCACTACAAACTGAATATGCCTTAAAGATCTGGAAATTGTTTTCACCATTTTAAATGTTGCACTTTTTATTTTGCATTTTAGGGAGATATCTGTAGCTTAGCCATTTACTGTAAGTTGTGAAATTTGCAGGTTCATTTGATGGATTGCACTGTTTGGTTCATGAGTGCATGTTTTAAGAGACATTTATGAGGTTTATCAATGTATCTATTGTCTATGTCATCTGTGTATGCTCTCAGCAGGTCTGTGAGCTGTTCTACAGAGAACACCTAATCTATATGGGATAAAACCTGGTGCAATGAAGTCAACCTTCTTAATTTTAAACTTCTGATGTAAGATTACCTATGTATCCCCCATGTGTGTTCAGAACCCAGTGGGTTGGGGGGGGGGGGGGGGGGGGAGAGGAAGACCCCCCTCCCAATATCATCATCAAGTGCCTTGGCGACTGGTGTAGGCAACCATGCCTCTTAATATTCTAGGATCCTCTACAGTCTGTATCAGTTTGTGTGTTGACATCTCTTCATGCAGTGACAAAAGACTTTCAAAAATCGTCTCATGTTGTCTTCTTCTTGTCTTTTTTTCCCATAAAGCTTTCCGGTGGTCACAACATGTTTCAGTTTTCTCCTTCTCATGACATGACCAAAAAAAAAAAAAAAAAAAAGATTAGGACTGTCTCTTTCTGATGTTTGGAACAGGACCAAATTCCAGAGGTGGACATACCACAAGAACTTTCCGAAGAGTTTACATCCAGTGAAACACTAAAAGACAAAAAAATATCATAACTGATACAGGACATTCAATTTGTATCACCTCTGTTATAACACAAGAACTTGGAACAAATTCTGAACTGGGTCACCAAGTCAGTTATAAAAACCAGCCTCAGTATGGATTCAAACTCAGGACCTTTGAGTGTTTAGCTAAGAACCAACATCACAGCACTTGAGACATTCCCATTAATGCTCCATCCTCATCTTCAGCAGCCAACAAAGAATTTCAAGTCCGATGATGCCAGTAGCAGTTTGATTATATATATATATTTGTTCTGACGTTCCTCTGAGTGATGGCCGAATTTCCCTGATCACTCTTAGTTGTACCATTCTCTTCAGACAATAATGATCTATTCATGCCTCCACACTGAACATATTCTCTGAAAGGGCCTTGATCACATGCAGCTTGTCAAGCATAAATTTACCACCCACTGGTTTACTAGCAGCCAGTTTGTCTGTATGTTCATTTCCCAGCACTCCTGTATAATTTAGAGAAAAATATCCAAATAACACTAATTACCCAGGACCTCTGAGGTGATGCTTGCCACTCGGCATGGAGCATTCCTATCTCCACCTTGCTTAACATGCTTTGTGTGTTAGTTACAGTCATGACAGGTGTGTGCAGCTGGTTCCCAAGACAACAGAAAGCTGCTGTAACTGCCTCCACCTCCATTCTCAAACTAGTCTCTTCTAGTCCTGTTGTGCCACTCAGTATCACGTTTTGAAGAGGCATCGGGTGCAAGCCTGGGCATGTGCTATGTGGATGCTGGTATTTATGAAGGCTTCTGTGGTTGACTTCTAGACCTGCTTCAGTTGTATCTAAGTGACCTGGCTGTCTGTCGTGCACTATCTGGTTATAGTCTTGACACAAATCCAAAATATCTGATACCTACACACACACACGTACAAAGAATACCTTTTCAATGCACTTTTTAGCTGGTTCCACAAAGGTCCTAGTCAGTTTCTTGCCTGCCTCAGAGCCCTCCTTGCTGCTGCCCCAGATTCCTTGCTGCACAGACCAGTAGAGGACACCTCCCACAGCAGAAACTTTGGCTGCAATCCTAGAATGGGAATTAGATCTCAAGGACTAGTTATGTCATGGTGTGGGAAATTATGTCAGAGAGAGACAGAGGGAAGTAAAGAGGAGGGAGAGAAACATAAAGAAGAGGGAGGGAAACACATAAAGAGGAGGCAGGTAAAGTAGAGAGGGAATGACAAAAAGAGAGGGGAAAATGAGGGAGGAAAAGAGAAGAAGGGAGAGATTGAGGAAGAAAAAACAGGCGGGATCAAGCTGGAGAAAATGAGGACGAATGGCACAGAAAGGTAATGGGAAAGAGAGATGGAAATGAGATTTAGAAAGAAAGTATGCAGTCAGAGACAGTGGAAGTAAAAGAAATAGGACAATGAAGTGAGGGAGTAACAGAGGGAGAGGAAGTGAGCAAGACAATGCAAGAATATAAAGAAGCTAGAGTAGAGAGGGGATGAGATAAAACAAAAGTAACAGACAATAGGAGAAAAGAGGGAGAGGACATGCATGAAACACAGATTGAGGTAAACAGGGTTGGAAAGAGAGAGGGGGAGAGGGAGGTAGAGAGAGAGAGAGAGAGAGAGAGAGAGAGAGAGAGAGAGAGAGAGAGAAAGAGAGAGAGAGAGAGAGATGTGGGAGTAAAACAGAGATTCACAATAAAAATGTAAAATGATACATGATAGTTTTTCTTGCAAGAGAGAGGGAGAGAGAGAGAGATGTGGGAGTAAAACAGAGATTCACAATAAAAATGTAAAATGATACATGATAGTTTTTCTTGCAAGAGAGAGGGAGAAAGAGAGAGAGATGTGGGAGTAAAACAGAGATTCACAATAAAAATGTAAAATGATACATGATAGTTTTTCTTGCAAGAGAGAGGGAGAAAGAGAGAGAGATGTGGGAGTAAAACAGAGATTCACAATAAAAATGTAAAATGATACATGATAGTTTTTCTTGCAAGAGAGAGGGAGAAAGAGAGAGAGATGTGGGAGTAAAACAGAGATTCACAATAAAAATGTAAAATGATACATGATAGTTTTTCTTGCAAGAGAGAGGGAGAAAGAGAGAGAGATGTGGGAGTAAAACAGAGATTCACAATAAAAATGTAAAATGATACATGATAGTTTTTCTTGCAAGAGAGAGGGAGAGAGAGAGAGATGTGGGAGTAAAACAGAGATTCACAATAAAAATGTAAAATGATACATGATAGTTTTTCTTGCAAGAGAGAGGGAGAAAGATGGAGGATTCACACACCAATGGCTAGTTTGAAAAGATGATAGAATGCTTACTAGAAACAACAGACACACACACACACACACACACACAGAGAGAGAGAGAGAGAGAGAGAGAGAGAGAGAGAGAGAGAGAGAGAGAGAGAGAGAGAGAGAGAGAGAACGAACAAACGAACGAACAAACTTTATTTTCAAAGGGTTACAAATTGGGCACGCAGGCCCATCTGACATTCGGCCCTTCTAAGTACTCATTTTTCAGAGTAGCAATACCTGTAGAGAGAGATAGAGAGAAGCAATATGTCACCTCTGTAAGCCCTATATTAAACTGTGGGGAACCCAAGAGGCCCCAAGGTGACCCCCAGTTTATTTCACAGTGGACTGAAAGAAGAACCACAGGCTAGTGTTTTAGATTACAGAGCCAAGGTATTTAGTTTTGAACAAAGAAGACCCAAACAACAGATTGCACAATTTATTGCCTGGTATCTTTCGCTGTATCTCGTCAAGTGCAACCACAGTAATAAAAATAAAAATTTTAGTTTTATGAATTCATTGGCAACCTTGCACCTATCTGAATGATACTGTTACTTTGCATAGGAATTACAATCCACGGCCGGGGTATGTGTGACTCGCAAGACTGCATGGGTTTTCAGGGCATATTTTTTCTTAAAAAAAAACAAAGCTTTTAAACTATCTGCATTTTCTCCTTTCTTCGAACTCCATTTTACAAGTGGGATCTGGGACCCAATTGTGGGGGAGGCGGGGAGAATAGTTCCACTGCCTACCCAACTAGCATTTCATAAGAGTAGACCCCCGTGTGGGTTCCGGGGCCCCACTGCCTCCCCAAAAGCATGTCGTAAGAGTCGACTAATTGGGAAGCTTCCTTTGAAGTCGGAGTGCATCTGCCGGAGAGGCAAGGAACCAACAGTCTGTATTCAAGAGAATGAGATCTGTAAAACTGATGCACACGCAACACTCAGGTTCTGGAGCAGGACTGCAGTTCAGTAGTGGACGAGCAACCAGAACCTTCCGCCAGAGTTTACAGCTGGTGAACGTGAAGAAGAAGATAAGAGTAGACTAATTAGGGATTTTCTTGAAGTCAAAGTGCATCAGCATGAGTGGCAAGGAAACAAAACTCTGCAAACAAATAAGCCAGATGTTAACAATGGAAGTGAACACAAAACTACAGTTTTCTGGAACAAGACTAAAATCCAGAAGTGGATGAACAACCAGAGATTTTTGCCAGAGTTTACTGGTGGTGAATGCTAAGCAGATCTTTATGTCCCTCTTTCGTGCAACGTGATCCAATGAATCCTATTCCTATAAATCTATCTCCATACCTGTATTATCGGACATTAACATCACTGAATATTCAAGAGGACTAGCTCATAAACAGAAAAAGCTCATCCACATTAAACCCCATAATACTTTGGAGAAAACAGCAATGGAGAGTATGGTTCCTAAAAGAAGAAGCAGGTGATGACCAATTTACTGTAGACACAAGATGTCAATGACACACTTGGCATAAAAGTTCCTGATGCAAAAAAAAAAAAAAAAATGGCAGTTGACCGAATTGCTTTCTGAATTATGTGATAAGTGTGATATTCTGCAAAAGGACTTGCTACATGGTGATGATAAAATTACAAACATACTTAGCAACTCCAAGAGCCATTTTGAGTTTCTGAAATGGAGAATCAACGATCTTTTGACAAACAAACAAAAAGCTGGTCGTTTGCTCTGGGCAAATTAGGGACTGGCCAGATCCGGCGGCTTACTGTCCAGGTGAACTCTTGTAGAGCTCCACTGATGAAACCTGAAGATCACAAAGCAATAACATTTAGATAGAAGTAAAGTCATATCAGGCAATTAAGGAAGGTTGGCAATTTTAAAAAATGTGTTATCTCACTAGACCAAGGTAATTCAACTGGCGGCCGTTGGGCCAAATCTAGCAAGCAAAGGCCTACAAGTGGCCGGTGTATCACTGCCAATTGTACTGTATTTTTAATGATTTTTCAGCTCTCCTCCGAACTTCGTCCTAATATTATGGCGGCCATAAAATATCCTTACGGGGCTCAGTTCTATTAAAAAAATGCCGGCTCCTTATAACGAAACAAATGCTCTAACAGGGTCTCAGCAATATATTACTTGCGGACCTGTTTCTGTGACTCACCGCCGACGGTACCCCCCACGCCGTTATGCGCGGCGCGGATGGGGGCTAAACTAGATGGCTGGGACTCACGAACAGCAGATACCGCATCTCCTGCAACTTCCTCCAATCAATTTGCTCGTGAGTCCCAGGCACCTAGTTTAGCCCCCCATCCTCGCCGAGCATGCCGAAAAGTGTAAGGATACAGGTCGGCAGGTCTGACATCTACCGCTGCTAAATCCTCAGTCGGACGAACAGTATTGCTAATCTGCGTAGGAGCGCGTGGTCTACCCACCATATCACTGTCATCGTCTGCAATGTCTCGAAATTGTCAACAGTCCCTATTATCGTCTGCAGAAACGCTCGAAATTGTCAACGGTCGCTTTTATCGTCTGCTACTATCGTCTGCAGTGTTGCGTCTCTTGAAATTGTCAAGTAATCCTAGTTTTGCGGCGATTTGTTCCTTGGCAGAAAGTGCACATTTTACATATGCCTAAGCCCCGTAAGGAGAGCCGATTTTTCTGTGCTGGGGTTCAGGCCTCTGACAATCATCATTTTCAAAATTTTGGCCCATGAGTAAACTTACTTAAATAGCTCTCCTCTAGACGAGAAAAACTGTATGTTGTTAAAAATATTCCCAGTCTATTATAAAATAAAATTATATTGTGATTACAGAAAAAAAAAATTTAACTGACAATTAACAATTCAATGATATGATCACTTGAGAATAGTGGCCATTGTTCAATCCTACACGACTAGGTAACTGTAAAAAATATAAATGAAGTGCTTCGTGCGAACTGAAAGAAGACTTTTGTATGCTCTGTTTTCTGTTCAGGTGGAGCTCCACGATAAATACAAACCCCTTGTAAAAACGGACAGGCTGACGGCGAACAGACAGAGGTCAAAATGGAGCCGCCACAAACTTTTGTGTTTCCGCTGGACGTTTGTTGGGTGTCGTAAATCTCTTGTTAGAGAAATGCCGTTTATAATACACACAAAAATATTTTACTATTTAAATTTTAAACATGTTAAAATGTGATTTATACATAAACCGTTTAAGTTTATAATCGTTTTTTTTTGGGTGTATATTTTTGCGACAACAGTAGTTAGGGACGTTAACACTGTTAACACCATCGTTGTTTACAATATGGCGGAAAAGAGACAACAATCCGTGGCTAGGGGAAGCCTGGTAAATATTTGTTGCACTGACACACATGCAAGCGCATCCACCCACACTCAACAGGTTTATGAATTTAAACAAGTCTTCTGCCCCATTCCTGTTAGTGTTTGACCAACGGAGTACGAATAACATATTTAAATGTAAACAAATCGTCAGGGGACATCTGAGACCGTTGGAGTAGTTGGCTATCCTCCGAATAACGGCCACATTTTATGGCGGCCAAAAACAGGGCCTCAGTCACATGTAAATTGCAGACTTCCGGCGACTTAAATTGCGAACTTCCGGCGACTATCGCCACCACTGAGAGTATTTCCTGCAGCGCGGATAGGGAGATAAACTAGATGTCTGGGACTCATGAGCAGCAGCTACTGCATCTCCTGCAACTTCCTCCAATTTATTTGCTCGTGAGTCCCAGCCATCTAGTTTAGCCCCTATCCGCACCACGCATAGCGACTTAGGAGATACTCTCGGCGGTGAAAACTGCGTTACCAATGCAGCACAGGTCATATTTAGCCGAGTTTCAATGGCGCCACAGCCACAAAGAGCAGATTTTCCGGCATTATTTGCAACTTCTGTGCCACTATTTTCAGATATAAAGGCCTCAATCATCGCTAAGTAGTAGATTTGGTCATTTTCCCTTTTTTCGTTCCTCAATTTGTTTAGAGTTCAAGTTTTTAAATGTTTACAACACACGACCTAATGAGGCCCTGTCAGGGTGTGTTTTTGCCGCCATAATATGTGACTTGTTCAGAGGATAGCCAACATTTGACATATGGCTAACTGGGTCTCCAGGTCGTGGAACAAAACACAGCAGATCTGTGTGAGACAACCCCAGTGATAAACTGCAAAATTAACGTAACTTTCCCCAGGTGGGTTCAGGGTCTCCATTTTTCGAGGAAAACCCACTGCTCCCTAACAGGCATGTTATAAAAGGCAACTAATTAAATGTTTGCTGAAACCAAATGTTGGGCTGAATGACATAGATATCACAGCCTACCTGTAAACCACAACACAGCTTGTCTAATGCTCCTGTAACTAAAAAATATCAGAAGAAAAAGAAGAAATGTGACCTATGTACTGAAGGTCTGAATATTTTTTGGAATTGGCAAGTCCCAAGCGTGGACTTCTGGTCACTGGGTGGCTGCAGACCATAGACTCCTTCAGGACAAAACCTGCCTCTTCCCTAGCAAGCCGACACTAGAAGGATGACTATTGACTTCCAGCAGTGAATAACTTTGTGCTGTCCGTGCCAGACATGGACAGTCCTAGAAAAACATAAACACACAAAATTAACAACATGTAAGATGAGATGTTTATAAGAAATGTAGTGGGGAAACCAAGAAGAGACAATCACCATCAAAGAACTAAGAACAATGGTAGGCACAGTACTGGTCAATGATTTCATAGAATTGGGAAGAATCCAATGGTTTGGTTATCTTCTCAGATTGAAACCAGTTCAGCCATCAGCAAGAGTGTACTGCATGAGAAGAGCAGGCTACAAGTCAAGAGGCCGACCAAGAAAGAGATGGGTGGAGGGAGTAAAGGAGACACTACAGAAACACAATATGACATTGAAGCAAGCAATGGTTTTATAGTCCATGTGCAGAAAGGACCTGGCTGAAACATTGATTTGTCTTTTGTGCACGTTGTTTCTTTTCTCCCTTTCATTAAGCTTTTCAGTCACATTTCAGTTGAGTTGAGTCAAGAATTGACCTCACAGCACTCGATGCATTCCCATGCATGCTCCATCCTCATCTTCAGCAGCCTGCACAGAGTTCCAATACTGATGGTACCGGTCACAATCTGGTTTTATGTCTGTCTTGCCTTTTCTCTGAGTGTAGTGAGCCGACCAGACTCTCTGGTTACACCCAGAAAGAATGATTCCATTGCCTGATTTAATTTCATTGATTTAAAAACTAGAAAAAGACATGAAACTACATCTGACTTCTCTGTGTGATGCTTGACCACCTCATCAGTAGGACAGAAGAAGAAAGAAGAATGAAAGTTTTTTTTAAAATGGATATTTGTTCCATCAGATGTGCAGACATGCATAACATGTTAATTGATAAGTATTACAAATATTAGGTCACACATGTTATGTTGCTTGTGGCAGACAAGGTTGATGGTCATCATCATCATCATCGATCAGCAGGTACTTGACAGAACATTGCTGTCGTCACGGCAATGCCTGATAGTCTCTTTTTTCTAACCAATTCTCCAGCTCTGTATGTTTCATAGCCGAGGTGAAGGGGGAGGATCATTGCACGTTGTTTTATCCTATATGGCTCAGTCTCTCTCCGCAGAACAGCTAGCTGCCTGCCGAGAACATCACACAGAGCTCGGCCTTCATAGCTCCAGTGGCGATGCCTAGGGATCTCCGTAAAATTGCCCTCATGAACTGAGCGGCACTGCTGTGAAATGACCTACGACTTCCATAGCGCAAGACAAGCGGCTTGACCACCGTCTCCCGGAGACCTCGCTGTTTTATAGCAAATACATCTACAGTGTTCTGTTTCCACTTTGCTAGTCTGCCAGAAACTGTACCCTGCAACACAGTTTTCTCCAGTCCACTATGACCCTTAACATGACCAGAATACCTCAGCTTTCGGGACAGGATACTGTTTATGAGCCACTTTTCATTGATGCCCACATCAAGCAGGATGTTTGTGTTTCTCTTGTTAGTCTCTGGCGTTCTAAGAATATTTCTCAAGCATTTCAGTTCAAACGCTTTGAGATCAGTTGAGCCTAAAATAGTACCAGGAAATGACATGGGAAGTAAAGGCAGCTGGCATGACATTATCAAAATAACCTATCAAGTGCTAAGTGGTCTATAAAAATAGTCTAGCACTATATTCCCTATGCCAGTGTTGTGATAAAGGCCCTGAACTTGTTACTTACCTTGTGTTGTCTTGTTATTTCTGTATCAGAATAATATTATTTTTATGTTTTTGTTTTACTATCTATTTTTTAGAGTAAAGCAGGCAATGTGAACCAGACAGTATCAGTAAAAAACACAGAAAGTATGTATGTCTCCAAGCAGACGTCAGACATTTTGAGTCGAGAGGAAGAGTACAAGTAAGAATAAGACGTGTTGACTGTAGAAAGGAAGAACATGTTTTTGATATGATTTAACATGCAAATAGCAAGAAAGCATGAAAGAAAATGCTGAAGTGTGTCTGTCTGTTTATCTGTTTGTGTGTCTTCATGTCTATCTTTTTAGTTTGAAAGGTAATGAATGGCATGTAAGGTGAAGAATGACATGAAAGGTAATGAACACATGGACCAACTGGCAAGCAATGCACCAATTATTGTGAAGTAGGTTGTGATGTAATACCTCCTTGTATACCATTCCCCATCTAACATGCGTCTGGGTTTTTGATAAATGTAGGTCATTCCTGACTGGGTCTAGCATTAGTTGAGTCTCGGAGAAACCAGAAACTGCTCAACAAAACTGTAACAAATCACTCAATGTGTGATTTACTTGTGTCATCAGTCTTGTTTAGTATGGAGAAAACACATGATGATGATGAATTGGTGATGTAAGATGAACGAGTAATCTCTCAGTCGATCTGGTTTAACTAATGGATAACTCGCTTAATAAATACTGGCACAAAATCATAACAGTTCTCAGTCAACCACTTTGAGACTAACCCACAAGGTTCACACCTGAAACACATGTGCGATTCAAGTATGCTCTGCTAGCTGACTAGACTGCACTGACACAAAGTCCGACCAGTTCTCCCCAGTCTCCATAAATGGACAGCACACAATATATGTTTGCACTCTATGTCCTGATGGCTGCTATGGACACCCCAACCATGGAGAATCCATCTTTAACTGATGGCTGAGACCATCCTCTGGTGACTCTCTATCCCAGAGACCCCACCATCGGAGGACAAGGTAGTCTCACTAAGGTAGTTACCGTAAGTCAACCAGGGTGATCAATAGATGCACCAATGCTGACCCCCACAACACATGGGCCATCACTTACTCTGTCCTCCAATGAATGTCTACACTAAAAACATTCAGAACTCCATTTTCTAATACATCAAATTCAGCTAGACCCAACAGACGCTCGGACAGAATAAACACGTGATTAAAACTGTCACACATCACGAACAACCATCTGAACTATTTCACTGACTGAAGGCTACTGAATCAGACTACCACGGAATTCGCCCATCAGCGGTCACTCTCACGTGGGTCTGGCCATACCTGTGGAATCCGTAAATCTCACACAACATGACTTCCACCCTCTTTCAGTGGCCCAAGTATCCACACTCACTTCTCACTTCAGTCACTGATATCACGAAAAGTCATGTGTACTTTCACACCTTCTGACCTCTGGTATAAACGCACAGTTAGCACACAACACTAGTGCGTATGGGAAGAATCATGGACAGTTCAGATATCATCAATGCTGTACAAGCTCGGTTAGTGGTAACAACTAGTTCTTTTCCATGCTCTAATTGTGGAAGACGTTTCAAAACGCGAGTGTGTCTTGCTAGACAAGCTCGCCATCACCATGGGCTGTTATTCCCATTCTTCCTCATAGCACAATATAATACTATGGTCTGGACAGACGGAAAAGAGCCAACAACAAAAGTGAATCAAAAGGTAATCTTTGTGCCAAATACATCAATAAACAGAAAATAAAGTTGGGCAAAGAATTAGAATGTAGCAGTACAAGTTGCCAACGTAAGCACTTCATTTAAGAAGATCTAAACTAGGGTCTCCTCGACTTACGGCTGAATTTTGTTCCCACTAACAGGTAGTAAGTTGAACTGGTTTTAACTCAAATTTATAAAATTTTCTGTAAAATAATTCAAACTGATAGTAAAAAACAGAAGTTGACTCTGTGTACATATAATTATTGTACATAGTGGGAAAAATATATATGTTGTATCAGTTCCAGGAACTTTCTGACCATGTCAGTGCAGTTATCTTTCATTATTTGCTATTTTATGCATTTATTTAATGTTGCAAATACCTTGGACTGCCAGAATAACTTTCAGTGATTGCCTGAAAATGGCTAATGAAAGTAGAAAATTGTATATAGCACCTAGAAGGAGACAGAGTTCTTTGGTCATGTTATGAGAAAAGGAACACTGGAAAATATCTTGATGACTAGAAAGATCACTGGTAGAAGAAACAGAGACAGACCAAGAGAAATGATGGTGGATTGCTTAAGTCAGTGGCATGGAGGAATATCATCAGTGGAATTGATCCAGAACACCAAAGACTGACATCTGAGCAGATGCATGAATGCCTACGCTAACTGGCAAGGCGCTTTATGATGATAATGATGATGATGATGATTCAATGTCTTTGTAACTGCAAATGGTCACGTTGCATAGTTTATAAATCAAGGAGAAGGTGTGTGAGAGCAAGAAGAAGATATATAGATGATATTAAAGACATTGTTCATTGCATAAAATTATAAAAGCCAGTTTCAGCTATCCATCACTGGAGCAGATCTGTTCCTTCTCTGCAGCAAAAATGGAAGATGATTGATGAGCACCTTTCCCTCTTTCCAGATGATAGTGTTATATTGGGCTATGAGGAGGAATGGGACTCACAGCCCATGGTGATGGCGAGTGTGACTAGCAAGACCCGCCCGTGTCAAGAAAAGTCTTCCACAATGATAGCATGGGATTTCAGGACCATTGTTGTCAACATTTGTGTTTAATCTGTTTCTTTTCAGACGCTCAGCTCTCATCCTTTCTGCAATAATTTCTTCTTTTACTCTCATTCCCTTCCTGATATGCCTTTTCCACACAACACTGTCCATGGCATTTTGTTTCTACGAGTCCACCTCAATACCTGTATCATTCATGTCCCGCTTGCGCACATCTTCATACTGTAGAAGAGGTCGGCCTCAACTTCTGCCCATCTTTAATTCACCATAAAGGGTGTCCTTAGGGACTCTGCCATTCTCCATTCTCCAGGTGTGACAGAGCCACCTGAGCCTTCGTAGACTGCCTTCCTCCATTCTCCAGGTGTGACAGAGCCACCTGAGCCTTCGTAGACTGCCTTCCTCCATTCTCCAGGTGTGACAGAGCCACCTGAGCCTTCGTAGACTGAACATTAAGAAGACTGTTGTAGTACCTGCCCTTTCCAGTACCTCAGTGTTTGTGATCTTGTCCTACCACTTAATGCCAAGTATTCTTCTTAGGCATCGCATGTGAAAGCTATTTAGCCGTCTCTACCGGTGCAAATAAGTTACCAAGTTTCACTGCCATAAAGCAGAGTGCTGAGAACACAAGCCTGATAAAGAGTTTTTGTTTTCATTGTGAGCTTTCTGCTCTCCCAAACTCTTTTTGTCAGTCTACTCATTGCTGTTGCTGCCTCACCTATCCTGATGTTGATTTCTTGGTCCAGCGATAGTTTGTTACCGTGGAACCTAGATAGGTAAAATGGTCCAAATGGAAGAAGATTTTAATAATGCTAGAAAGTGGACAAGTTTGAATATAACCAGCACTGTTACTTTCAGACGACTGAATGCAGAGTTGGAAGCAAAGACAGCATCTCTTGTTCAGGAAGCAGAAATGGTTATGGTGAGTACAAAGCTGGTTTTGAATGTCAGATTCTTTTGAAATTAGAGTGCATCTGCCTGAGAAGCATGTAATGAAAAAGCCAGATCTGTGAAACAGATGTGCACAAAAATCTCAAATTCTCAAACAAAACCAGTCCAGAGGTTTTGAACAGCAGATCAAAATCATGGCACATGGGTGTAACCCATAAAGGCTCTGTTCTTCTTCTTACTCAAGTCTGAGTCTAAAAAGCTCAGCACAGTGCACAGGCTCTGTAGCACCAGCGAGGATCCTGAAATACTTTAGGTAGATTTTTAACTCCAAATTTTTGTCCAGGCAGCACTGTTAGGCTACTCTTTTTGATTTCCAACTGCCAAGGGATTTTTTTTACGTGGCCAACAATGCACACGTCTGATCTCACTACCCAGAGACCAGGGGGAAATTACTAGAAGTCCAAGAAAAAATCCCAGGCCTTCCTGTGGATTGAAACCGGAACCTCTAGCACTCGAGACAGACACTATGTCTCAAGACCATGCAGCCCCCAAAGTCCAGAAGTGGACGAACAAGCAAAACTGTCAGCCGGAGTTTACAGCCAGTGAACGCTAAGTAAGGAAGGATTGTGAAATTTATGTTTCAGAAAATAAGAGCTCTTCTCATTGAATTTGGCAAATCAGCAGTATCTTGCTAGACTCGTATCTGTATGGACAAGTTGGCATTGGATGGATGATGTGTGCAACATCACACAGCAGCCTTTACCTTCCAGGACATTTCCCTTATCTGTCAACAAGGGTGTCAAGGTCATTTTTAGGAAAATCCGCCCTGATTCAGATTCAAACCCAAGAGCTACAGGCCAGCATCTGTGATCCACAGCCCTTGTGTCATTAATTCATTGTTATTAATTATTTTCTGAAATCCCATGTATCGTTGTGGAAGACTTTACTTAATGTGGCTGGTCTTGCTAGTCAGACTTACCATCGCCACAGACTGAGTCCCATGCTTTCTCATAGCACAATATCACACTATCATCTGTAAAGATAGAAATGTGCCAATCAAATACATTGTATAGATTTATCTGGATTTATTGAAGCTGATTTCTTCTATTTCTGCTTCTTTGTTTTCTTCTGCTGCCATATCTACACGTCTGGTGCAGAGATCTTGACCACGGAGAAGCGGTTAAAAAGTTAAACTGTTTGGAAATGTGTATGTTGGAAATAATGTAGTCATGGATGGAAACAAAGTCAAGTAAATTACAGAGGTTCTGGTGAAACTGGCAATGAAAAAAGAGTTGGTAAAGAGAAAGAGAGAGAGAGAGAGAGAGAGAGAGAGAGAGGGGGGGGGGGGGGGGGTTAATTTCATACACATTACCATGCATAGCACTCTTATAAACACCATACTGGAGAGAACAGTTGAAGGCAAGCAACCAAGAGGCAAACAATGATACAAGTGGGTAAGCAACATCAAGAGGTGGAGATGAATCAACAGCAGAGACAGTTTTGGGGAATCATTGTGGCCAATTTGGTTGCAGAGATAGCACTTGATTGATTGATTGATTGATTGATTGATTGATTGATTGATTGATTGAAAGGAGAATAACTGCATATTTTCTGTGATTCCTTTTCCCAACAGAGACAGCAAGAAACTACACTGGCTAAACCAAGTTTGTTGGATAACATCAGCACAGAAGATTTTCTTCAGTAAGTTGTACTTTCATGTCTTTGCACTGGAACCCACAGGGTCAAAGAAATAAAGGCAGGACAAATCACACTAGAAAGATACTAGAAATTGAAGTTAAAAAAGATAGGGAAGACATGCAGAGAACTGAATGTGATAGAAAAAGATAGAACAACCTGGTGTGAGTTAATTGAGGACCCATGTTCCAGTTCTTCTTCTTCTTCAGCTTTCCGAACCCTTGAGGTTCATTGCTGCAGATATCACCCGCCTCCATTCATCTCTCTGGTTGGCTTTCTCTTTCTGTTGGTGACACCAAGTGTTTGCAGGTCTGTCTGGACATTATCTCTCTATCGTCTTCTTGGTCTGCCTGGTGGTCTACGACCATTCATCTCCCTTGTGTCAACAGTTAATGTTCCACTTGAAAAACAAATGGCAGAAGGTGCATTTTCATGAGTGTATGGATTATTCTCTGCCTGTGTTTCTAGCAACCTGTTTGCCAGCCTGGTGGTTGTGGATTCAAATTCCTGTTAACCCTTTAGCCACGAGATGCCGATATTTCTACTTTGCCATCTGTTGCACATTCCCAGTAAAACCTATATAAGCTTCAGCCAGTTCCTGTTTGACCTAGTTAACATAACTGGTTCTGTTCGACCTAGTTAACATCACTGGTTCTGTTTGACCTAGTTAACATCACTGGTTCTGTTTGACCTAGTTAACATCACTGGTTCTGTTTGCACCTGCGTAGTTTAGGCTTGCCGGACGTGTTTATGTTTACTAAAAATATCATTTAATGGGTTGTTATTGTTAAAAAATGGCTTTTTTAAATATACATTATGTCATAATTCTTCATCCAGCCTTCCCTGGTCACTCAGTGTTGGGGTCACTTTATATATTTTTTTTTTAAACTAAGGGAATGTATTAAATTCCTAGCTCCGCGCATGATTTATATATCTTCATATAGTTTGTTGCTGATGACAGTTTTTCTGAAAAAAAAAAAAAATATCTGTTTAGAGATATGTGTTAAATTTGTTTGGTCATTAAAAAAATTTTTTTTTTAAGTTTTTTTTTTTAAAGGACTACCTGAGTATTTTTATGTCTTTCTTTCCCCGAGGGTTTCCAAAAGGGTTACGGTGGATTTCCAACATTTACCCAGATTCCCATGTCAGCCTAGTGTGAACTTGTTAACTGGAAATGTCCCGGGAAGTAAAAGTGGCAGACATAATGTTGACCCCATCACCCAGTGACTTTTATTTGTCCTGTATAGATTTGGAGCTAGCACAATATGCACAATAGGGGCGATGGAACGTGAGGACTTAGGCCCTTAGAGGCCCTCTCCAGAAAATATTTGTAAGGTTGGACAGATAAAAAGAGTAATGAAGATGTCATGAAAGGAACTGACTCACGAAGAGAACTGATTGCCCACATCAGACAAAGACAATCTACATTCTTTGGTCATGTGATGAGAAGGAGAAAACTGGAGTACATAGTGACAGTAGGAAAGCTGGAGGGGAGGAGAGGCAGATGGAGACAGATGTTGGACGGTTTTACATCATGGCATGAAAGATCATCTGTGTCAGAGTTTATTAAAAATACACGAGACAGAAGGCTGTGAGAGACATGACTACCAACGCCACATGGCATGGACTTTAGGAAGAAGAAGAAGAAGAGACATAAAGAATATGTGATGTATACTCAGCCCTGCTGTAGGACGCAGAAACCAGTTTGATAAATAAGAATTGAGAAAGTCAGACTGGGTCTCTGCAGAAGTGGACTGACAGAAGGTTATGCTCTTTTTCATGGAAACAAAAACAGTCAGATACAGAGGTTCTGGGCAGTTGGAAAGAAAAGACGACTGAAAGAAATAATTTAAGAAACAAGTGAATTATTTTTGCTACATTAAAAGACATAATAACACTCTTATAAAAACCATGCTGGAGAGAAAAGTTGAAGGCAGGTAGACACTGAAACATGTGGGAAGATTAACATCAAGAGAGTGACAGACAGAAGTCAGAAAGAATGTACAGTTAGAATGAGAGACAGAAAGTGTCAGAGATCCCTTACCTCCAACCTTAATGAACCAGTAAATCAAGAATTGACATTACAGAACTGGGAGTTAACCCACATATGCACTTTCCCCTTCCTCAGCAGCTAACAAAGAGTTCCCATAATTAAAAGCCAACCTCAATAATGGAGACAGTACATGTTTGATCTGTTGATTGATTGTTATCATTATTTCCATTATTTCTCTAATTAGGCAGCTAGTACAACAAAATGTGACTGAAAGTCTTGGAGTACAATGTTATATTTTGTTTTATTATCTGTGGATGATGTTAGTTGGGCTTTTGTGTTATACTGAGTTATTGACACATTTAAAGGCGACCCGCGTGTTGCTGACCACATCACCCATCTTGTGCCGATTGGTCTATAAAAATATAGGTCTAGCCCTATACGCCTAAAGGCGGGGGAAAGGGACCTTTACTTGACTTACTATTGACACGTTTGTTAAAATGTGAATACTGTTGTTTTAAATTTGTTTTAAACACTAAATGCTACAGAGAACTGGACAATGGTGTTACAGATGTAGGCTCTAAAGGAACACGTCAGGTAAGATTTTATTCCCAAGTAAGTTTGTGAAACCTTTTCTGATATTCTAACTGTTGAAACACGAATCACAAGGCCTCCCTGTAAATGTGTACTTCAAGTACTGATATTGCACACCATACTGGTTTCTGAGTTTGAAGAGCTCTCTTCACCTAGAAACCAGTAGATTAACTCTTTGAGTCCCAGGGAGTTTAGCTTCACAGGCACAAGGGGTAGTCAAGAGAGACGTAAAATCAACGCATCTTGAGTTCATTGGGCTTCTAGGTAGGAATCTATGAATGTATGACGCGTTTCTTAGGACTCAAAGAGTTAAGCAATCCAAGTAGTTCAGCTTCCCATCCGGCACAGTGATTCTTAACCCTTTGGAGAGGATGTGGCTGGTTTATCAGCCTGACACAAACTAGCCTAAAAGAGGACGATCGGTCAGCCCCATAAAATACAAGCCTTGAGATTGGCTGGCAGGTTTTTGTACATGTGTGTTGTTTAATGACGGCTATTGTGAAAGTATTCTGTAGTTTTATATCAATTCTTTTGTGTGGTTACCTCTGCTCCAAACTGGCGAAAATGACTGTTATGTCATAGCAACCAAAACCTAGCACGAGGCAGGAAAAAGAGTGGAACCATGTGCCAGGAGTGTCTGAAGGGCCTCCATGGGCCTTACTTCTAAAAACACAAATGTTAGGACTTATTCAGGCTTCATCCATTAAAAAATTGACATAAATTTTTCAGGTTAGTCATGTTTTTCCCGAAGTAAAAATTAAAATGCTTGCATAAATTATGCAAATCAGAATAGTTAATTTGAATAAATGTTGAAATTTAGTTTTATTCATAAATATTCTGTTAGCTCATTCTATTTCCTACACGATTATGTACCGTTTTGTGTATGTTAGTTAAAAACTTTATTTGTTATCTCAATCTTTTTGGCACTGAAACTCCAAACAGGCTCCGTCTCCAAAGGGTTAATGTTATCAGCATGACTGCAATCTAAAAACTAAATACAAACAATACAGTATATGAATAGAAAGCTCAATAGAGGGAAAGGAAAAGATGTCCAGAAATATATCAAAAGGCTTAGACTAAAGTCTTTATCAGTGGACAAAACAACAAGCTAATAGACAACTGACAAGGTCAACATGGAACCTGAAATACATTTTTAAATACCATCTAAAAAAATGTACCACAAATACATATTAGGAGAAAATATGGGAATATGATCTATTACAAAATAAAACATGCAAGTGGCGACAATTGTAACATTAAATTTAACAAGAAGGAAAAAGAAAATATTAGACACATGGGGAGTCCCTTTAGCGGAGCGGCTATATGCTCGTTGCAGATCGGAAGGTCGTGGGTTCGCTCCCTGGAGGAGCCAGACTTTTTTCAAAAATGACCTTGGTTCTCAGGTCGACCTAGCAGTCCCGGGAAGGAAAGGCAACTGGCGTGATGCTGATCACATCACCCATCTTGTGCTGATTGGTCTATAAAAATATAAGTTTATCCCTACATGTCCTATATTTGTCCCAGGCTAATGTCTGTAAAAAAAGTAAAAGACAATTTTAACGGGAACGGCTTATCAGGCATACAGTGCTTGACCCATATTTGTATAGACAGACTGAAATTCAAGGGGGATGTGGTCAACATCTTGACTTACCAGTTTTTTTTTTGGGGTACCCATTTTAGGCTGGGCCGAACTTGGAGCCCCATAAATTTAGATCCCCATTTTCAACAGGTTGGCCCCTGAGTAAACTTCGCTGAATGGCCCTGGTCTACAGCAACCTTTTATATTAGGTCAAATATAAAAATTTGCCTCGATACAAATTTGAAGCCGACATCTTCGGTCCAGTAGTTCTAGCCACTGTACTTCAGCAGCTTCTAGCACAGTACCATGCTGCATTTAAAAAAAAAACCCAAACAAACCTATCACTACTGTCTGTTTACCACTTTTTAGGGCAATGTAGACATAACAATTGCGGTAAGTTTGAATTTGAAACCTTTTAAAGATATAAGGATGCGCTTTTTTCAGTGCATTGTACAAGTTAGTGTTCATTTCTGTTAGGTTGCTCCTGATGGTGTCATTTCATATCTTGCATGGTCTTTCCTTTGCTCTGTGTTCATTATATTTCTTCAGCGTGGCTCTCTGTGCCAGTTGGTATCAGGGCATTCTCTTCAGGTGGCCAAACCCTCTCATTCTAATTTCTTTATTCCTGATTTTATCTCTTCTTGACACACTGGCAGCCCTCCTAAGACATCTCATCTCGGTTATTATGATCTTCTGCTCATTAGTTGTAGTAAGGGCCCAGGTTTGGCACTGGTAGCACAATATCGGCCAAAACAATTGTCCTTATGAGATTTGCTTTGGTTGACAGAGGTATCTGTCTATGCGTCTGAAGCGTGTTAATTGTCCCATAACCTTATTTGCTTTCACACATCGTATGTTGATTTCCCTATCCATTCTTCCATCTGAGGTGAAAAAATAACCCTAGCCTTTTAAAGATTATATAGAATAATCCACAGACATATAGAATAATCCACAGACATATAGAATAATCCTCAGACAGAGGAGAGTGTTACTGAGTGTAGTGACCAGGGGATGTGCCCATTACTTAACACTCAAGGAAAAGGTGAGACTGATATACAGTCAAACTGTTACTGGTATCATTGAAATTGGAACTCTGCCCCTGCTGCTGAAGATGGGAATGGAGCACTTATGGAAATTGTCACGTGCCACAGTTAGTAAAGGCAGAAACAGACTATAGTTAGTCAAGGCAGGAACAGACTATAGTTTTCAAGGCAGAAACAGACTATAGTTTTCAAGGCAGAAACAGACTATAGTTTTCAAGGCAGAAACAGACTATAGTTTTCAAGGCAGAAACAGACTATAGTTTTCAAGGCAGAAACAGACTATAGTTTTCAAGGCAGAAACAGACTATAGTTTTCAAGGCAGAAACAGACTATAGTTAGTCAAGGCAGAAACAGACTATAGTTAGTCAAGGCAGAAACAGACTATAGTTTTCAAGGCAGAAACAGACTATAGTTAGTCAAGGCAGAAACAGACTATAGTTTTCAAGGCAGAAACAGACTATAGTTTTCAAGGCAGAAACAGACTATAGTTTTCAAGGCAGAAACAGACTATAGTTTTCAAGGCAGAAACAGACTATAGTTTTCAAGGCAGAAACAGACTATAGTTTTCAAGGCAGAAACAGACTATAGTTAGTCAAGGCAGAAACAGACTATAGTTTTCAAGGCAGAAACAGACTATAGTTTTCAAGGCAGAAACAGACTATAGTTTTCAAGGCAGAAACAGACTATAGTTAGTCAAGGCAGAAACAGACTATAGTTTTCAAGGCAGAAACAGACTATAGTTAGTCAAGGCAGGAACAGACTATAGTTTTCAAGGCAGAAACAGACTATAGTTTTCAAGGCAGAAACAGACTATAGTTTTCAAGGCAGAAACAGACTATAGTTTTCAAGGCAGAAACAGACTATAGTTAGTCAAGGCAGAAACAGACTATAGTTAGTCAAGGCAGAAACAGACTATAGTTTTCAAGGCAGAAACAGACTATAGTTTTCAAGGCAGAAACAGACTATAGTTAGTCAAGGCAGAAACAGACTATAGTTAGTCAAGGCAGAAACAGACTATAGTTTTCAAGGCAGAAACAGACTATAGTTTTCAAGGCAGAAACAGACTATAGTTAGTCAAGGCAGAAACAGACTATAGTTTTCAAGGCAGAAACAGACTATAGTTAGTCAAGGCAGAAACAGACTATAGTTTTCAAGGCAGAAACAGACTATAGTTTTCAAGGCAGAAACAGACTATAGTTTTCAAGGCAGAAACAGACTATAGTTTTCAAGGCAGAAACAGACTATAGTTAGTCAAGGCAGAAACAGACTATAGTTAGTCAAGGCAGGAACAGACTATAGTTTTCAAGGCAGAAACAGACTATAGTTAGTCAAGGCAGAAACAGACTATAGTTTTCAAGGCAGAAACAGACTATAGTTTTCAAGGCAGAAACAGACTATAGTTTTCAAGGCAGAAACAGACTATAGTTTTCAAGGCAGAAACAGACTATAGTTAGTCAAGGCAGAAACAGACTATAGTTTTCAAGGCAGAAACAGACTATAGTTTTCAAGGCAGAAACAGACTATAGTTTTCAAGGCAGAAACAGACTATAGTTTTCAAGGCAGAAACAGACTATAGTTTTCAAGGCAGAAACAGACTATAGTTAGTCAAGGCAGAAACAGACTATAGTTTTCAAGGCAGGAACAGACTATAGTTTTTAAGGCAGAAACAGACTATAGTTTTCAAGGCAGAAACAGACTATAGTTTTCAAGGCAGAAACAGACTATAGTTAGTCAAGGCAGAAACAGACTATAGTTAGTCAAGGCAGAAACAGACTATAGTTTTCAAGGCAGAAACAGACTATAGTTTTCAAGGCAGAAACAGACTATAGTTAGTCAAGGCAGAAACAGACTATAGTTAGTCAAGATTTCTTTAGCTCAAACTCAAGATTAGTTCAGCTAAAACAGAATATACCCAGAACACCTCTAACACCTAAAGCTTGTGAAGGTGTTCAGACACCAGAACTCCTATAACACCTAAAGCTTGTGAGGGTGTTCAGACACCAGAACTCCTATAACACCTAAAGCTTGTGAGGGTGTTCAGACACCAGAACTCCTATAACACCTAAAGCTTGTGAGGGTGTTCAGACACCAGAACTCCTATAACACCTAAAGCTTGTGAGGGTGTTCAGACACCAGAACTCCTATAACACCTAAAGCTTGTGAGGGTGTTCAGACACCAGAACTCCTATAACACCTAAAGCTTGTGAGGGTGTTCAGACACCAGAACTCCTATAACACCTAAAGCTTGTGAGGGTGTTCAGACACCAGAACTCCATGCAGAACAAATAAAGCGTTAACCCCGTGCACAACAACATCGCATGGCTCCCCACAGTGGTCAGCTGTTTTGAGCCCTGACCAAGAAAGATTATTCAGGATTCTTCGGTTCTTCTACAATTATTCGTTGGTTCTTCTTCATAGATTCCTCTGTGGTTCTTCTTCATAGATTCCTCTGCAGTTCTTCTTCATAGATTCCTCTGCAGTTCTTCTTCATAGATTCCTCTGCAGTTCTTCTTCATAGATTCCTCTGCGGTTCTTCTTCATAGATTCCTCTGTGGTTCTTCTTCATAGATTCCTCTGTGGTTCTTCTTCATAGATTCCTCTGCGGTTCTTCTTCATAGATTCCTCTGTGGTTCTTCAAGAGTCTGCCATTGTTCAATGTGTTGGCAATGTTTTAGTGTCAATAAGTTTTCAAAGTTATTCCAGATGATTCGGCTTCGATAATGTTTCTCAGTTTAACGCCAGCATGATAGTTCTAGTACTGTTAAGTTTTCTGATAATGTAGATGAGAGTAGCGTAAACTCAGAATATATTAAGGAGGGCAGGTGACGATAGTGTTGTACCGATATTTCCATAAACATGTCTAGTGTGACAGAGTACAATTGTCAGACCATAGACTTTGACCAGGTTTCAAAACCAGCAAGGTTGCTTCAGGAGGCAGCAGTATAGTCTGAGTCAAGAGCGGCATGAGTTGGGCGTAAGACGCTAATGACCTAGAGGCAGGTTGGGGAAAAATATTGAGAGTGTCCCTGTGAGGCAAGGAGAGTGATTGTTTTCTATCACCCGATACAACAGGGAACGTACGAGAAGCTTTGAACCATCACTTGACAAACGGATGCTTTCAACCTGAAACAAAAAGCCTCAATCTGATGTTCAGCATGAAAGGATGAGTACCCCCTGAGCGGACATAGCAGCTACAAGGAGGAGCAAGGCTTTTGGATAGCCCAACGAGTTTGGCCCAACCTTGCATCCCTGCCATAATTAGAGCTTAGTTGGCTGTTGACTCTTTGTCTTTTGTACGCTGGTTTGTGTGATGCTTTGGTAAAAATCAATGAATAAAGGCTAAATCATAGAAGGGAACTTTGTTTAAATGTATCTTTGAGTTATCGCAGTTATCCTAGGATCGCAAGACATCTGATTGTTGTCCCATGACTGCTCAGACTAAGACATCAACCCTAGCAATGACCTGGGAGCCAGTTCCTTAATACCTTTTCAGGTTCGAAATGTTCAGCATTGGCTCACCTTTTTGAAACACAACAAATTCACAGTCTCCTGACAGGAATGACCTGAATGTTGTGATTAATTAATCTTAACTCAACATTTAAAACACTTTAAAGATTAGAGGCTTTTCCTCATTTCCATACTGTTATTTTCCTCTTGCATCATAGTAAATCAGGCCAGCAAAGCAACTAGACACTTTGTATGATGACAACTTTTAATTCACAATGGGACTTTTCTGCCATCAGCAGGTATTTAGATCTGTCCTGCTCATTGCAGGGTCATGATTACTGGCATTGTGCTAGACCTAATGACAGACCACTTCAAGGATTCGTTGTTGTTAGCATTCACCGGATTTGAACTGCATCAAAAAGTCACAGCTGGTTATCTATCGACTTTTGTAAAGGACCTAGTGATTCCAGGTCAACAGTGTAAAAGGCATACTAGAAGATGCTTTAGTAAGTAAAAGTAGTCAGAGATGTCGCGGGAGTGTTGTGTGCACATCACTCAGTTTTACAGATTTGGCTTGCTGTATTTGGGTTATTTTTTTTGTGTGCCTCTCAGGCAAGTGTACTGTATTTTTAAAAACTTTCAACAATATCAATATAGTTTTGGAGAAGGCACTCAGTAAAGTCTGATACCTTCTTTCTTTACCAACCAACTAAAGCAGTTAACACATCAGTTGTCCTTTTTAATTTTATCTCCAAGGTCACCTTGTCAAGACCCCATTCAAAGGCCAGCAACTCTAGTAGACAAGCATCTGGAAAGCGTCCTCTCGCCAGTGGGTAAGACTTAAAGGAAATGTGTGAAAGTTGCTGGCCCAGTTTCATTGCTGTTGTTACGGCGTTTGATTTTATGATTGATATGAATATTTTTTATGTCATTGTTGTAATTCTCATTGAGATTGTGTTTTTGTGTGGTTATATATGTTTTTGTTGTTGTCATTGTGGTTTAGTTCTCACTGTCACTGTTGTAGTTCTCAGTGTCATTGTTGTAGTTCTCATTGACACTATTGTAGTTCTCAGTGTTATTCTTGTAGTTCTCATTGTCACTGTTGTAGTTCTTATTGTCATTGTTGTAGTTCTCAGTGTCATCGTTGTAATTCTCATTGTTCTTGTTGTAATTCTCATTGTCACTGTTGTAGTTGTCATTGTTGTAGTTCTCATTATCACTGTTGTAGTTCTTATTGTCATTGTTGTAGTTCTCATTGTCATTGTTGTGGTTCTCAGTGTCATTGTTGTAATTCGTATTGTCATTGTTGTAGTTCTCATAGTCACTGTCATAGTTCTCATTGTCACTGTCATAGTTCTCATTGTCACTGTTGTAGTTCTCATTGTGCTTGTTGTAGTTCTCATTGTTCTTGTTGTAGTTCTCATAGTCACTGTCATAGTTCTCATTGTCACTGTCATAGTTCTCATTGTCACTGTTGTAGTTCTCATTGTTCTTGTTGTAGTTCTCATTGTTCTTGTTGTAGTTCTCATAGTCACTGTCATAGTTCTCATTGTCACTGTCATAGTTCTCATTGTCACTGTTGTAGTTCTCATTGTGCTTGTTGTAGTTCTCATTGGTCTTGTTGTAGTTCTCATAGTCACTGTCATAGTTCTCATTGTCACTGTCATAGTTCTCATTGTCACTGTTGTAGTTCTCATTGTTCTTGTTGTAGTTCTCATTGTTCTTGTTGTAGTTCTCATAGTCACTGTCATAGTTCTCATTGTCACTGTTGTAGTTCTCATTGTTCTTGTTGTAGTTCTCATTGTTGCATTTCCAATTGTTCTTGTTTTAGTTCTCACTGTTTTGTTCTCATTGTCATTGTTGTATTTCTCATTGTCTTGTGGTAGTTCTCATTGTCACTGTTGTAGTTGTTATAATTGTTGTGTAGCCACTATTCTGTGATGTTTCCCCCGTGATACATTGCCAGGTATAGGATGAGTACAGAAACACTCAAGCTGCTTGGTGTTTTATTTGACAGAAAGAAAAAGGCAAGACAGTCTGCTGCTGTCGCTGATGACGTTGCAGTGCCAGATGACACATTTATGACATCTCTACAACAACAGTTTAGTGACATGTCTGGGCGGCTGGGCCAAGATGACACAGTCTCTGCTCATGATGGGGATGATGATGATATCTTGCCCCAGGCTGCCAGTGACATGGGTTCAGGTGGGTCATTTAAATAATCAGTGATAACAATTTCTGATCATTAGTCAACGTAATATGTTTTCTCCGAATGGTATCCCACTGCAAGAAATGGAGTCATACACCTGTCTGGGCAGTCATGTAGATAAAGATCAGAGAACTGACAGAGATATTAAAATACGAATACAAAAGGTTAGTCAAGATTTCATAGCAGTAAGAAATTTGTGGAGGTCAAAAGAAATTAAAACTAATACTAAACTTAACATTTTTAATTCTAATGTCAAATAAATACTGTTGTATGGAGAGGAAACATGGAGAACAACCAAGGCAATTACTAATAAACTACAAACATTCTTTAACTGGTTGTCTGCACACAATACAGGGAATTAAATGGTAGGATAGAATCACTAATGTAGGGCTTTGGAAAAGAAATAAACAAGTGTCAGTCGACCAAGAGGCAAAGAAAAGATGCTAGCATTGGATAGGACACACTTTGAGAAAACCTAGGAACAATATAACTAGAATGTCTTTGCAATGGAACCCACAGGAAGCCAAAAGAAGAAGAAGAAGTAACTGTATTTTCCTATTTTGAAAGCTGACAATCCTATCATCATGCACACTTTGTGAGAAAAGAATATTGTTTATGGTAAATATATGAGAGATTACCAAAATAAACTGATGCTTGACAAACAACAAATATGATGTAACATTTGCATTTTTTGTTGGTGAAAAATAAATTATTATTATGATGTGTCATGATACATGATTGTTTTACACATAACAATGCAGTTATCACACATGATACATGATTGGCTCACAGATAATGTGATGCATCATGATACTTGATTGATTGACAAAAAACGTACTTGATTGGTTGACAAATAATGTGATGTGTAATGATACATGATTGGATGATAGAAACTTTGATGTATCATAAAATGTGATTGGACGATGGATGATATGGTATATAATGAAACATAATTTGTTCTCACGTAAATAAAATGCTATATTATGTATGATTTTGTCGTCTTGCTGGGACAGAGGCTGTTATCCGTTTCCTAAAAGCCAAACTTCGGGTCATGCAGGAGGAAATGGATAGACTGACACACGAGAATCAGCTCAAGGTGAGTCAGGTTAAGCCATTTTTGGAATTCTCCCTTTCAGAACCTAACAGATTTTATAGCAGAAGTGGAAAACAAGTACCATGAAAAATCACAAAATAGGGACATTTTCTTTCTTCTTCTTATAGTTATTTCTATGTGACCCTGTTGGTCTCCTAGCAGGCTGTTTAACTGGATTTATGCGGGTCGAATCCGGCCTGCAGTGGTCTGGGAAGTGGGTCCACAGATCGTTGCCAGAACAATGATCTTTCTGTGCGGGGATTGTGGCCTCTGGCAATCCCTATTTTCAATCTCTTGGCCCCTGAGTAAACTTAGTTAAATAACTTGTGTAGAACATTCTATCTCGTGTCGATCACTTCTGATATTGATGATTTTTCATGATGCGATGTCAAATTGTCCAGAATTTTCTCTTTTGGTCTCCGCTGTCTCTCTTCCCTTCTAGTTTTGTTTTAAAGAAGGGCAATAAGTAGACAAGCAGCCTAACATCTACTGCCAACTGCTGTCTGTATTTAGCACGTTTGTGGTGTAAACGGGGATATTTGAGCCTGAAGATTCAGGACCGCATGGTTAGTGCTGTTGCCACGGACTATGCAGATTTCAATTTTTTGGTTTGCCCCTGACAGAAAAAAAAATTCTCCAACCTCACTGAGGATTTGAACCCAGGTCTACCAACATTCTAACCATTCGGCCATCTACTGACAGGGGATTTTCTAAGAAAATGGTAAGGGATATAGATTGACAGAAAAACAAGTTCTCCAAGAAACATGTGAGAGAGAAGTCATCATACTTTGGCCACATTATGATAAGAAAGAAACTTACATGTTGTGATAACTGGAAACATTTGTGACAAGGGAGATAGAGGAAGACAGCATGGACAGCCATATTTGTTAAGGCAGGAATGAGTGTTAGCACATAAACTGATATAGGCTCCTTGAGTTCCTGTAAGTTGTGGAGAGGCATGATCACCCATGCCACTCAGCAAGACACGATGACATATAGACAGTGAAGAATAAACGAATGAATGAATTAATCCAGTATTGACATCACTCTGTTCAGGACAAACCCAGTCGTGCTCTGTCCCCATATTCAGTAGCCAACGAAGAATCGACCTGCTAATAGTACTAGTTTAAGACTGTTTAAAAGTCCGCCTAGTTTGAATATCTTCCATAACCTCTACTGCCACGCCTCTGGTGTAATTAAGGGGTAATAACATATTTGATCCTGGGCCAAAAGGGCTAGTATTTGGTTTAATTAATATATTCTTTTAGAAACTATTAATCAGTTTTAATCTTTTATACTTTTTCCCATGTTGCAAATGTTATATCTGAATACTTCATTATAAGTTCATTACAAAAGTAATTTCTTCTGTAGGAGGAAGAGAACCATGTCTTAAACCAGAAACTAAAGGAAATAGAGGAAGAAAGAAATCGCCTGCTCCGCACAAGTTCTGCTCAACAACAACAAATTGACAAACACAAGAAGCTGTCAGAGGAAGCCAGAACCAGAAGTGAGAATCTGGAGTCGCAGTTATCTGCCTTGAAAAAGGTCTGGTATTTGATAGGTCATATTGTCTTTTGCCAGTTAAGATAATTAGTATAAGTATTAATTGCCGTCGGTGTCTGTGGCATAGGTGTTGTGAATGCACTTCGTAATGCTGGGGTGCCGAGTTCAATCCCAGCTGCAGGCCTTGCGCTGATTTCCACAATGGTATCAAGAGCCGACTGTCCAGAAAGCTGTGGCAAACTACTGAACATAATTTGCTTAGAAAAACCACAACAGCCAGATAAATGCTGGGGTTGGTTCTGCAACCTCCTGTAAAGGTTGAGTAACTAACATTATAAAAATTTTTGTTTAAATTGATTGCCAGATAGGAAAACTAAAAGTTTTACAAAATTCTTTTTGAAAGGCATGAGATTGAAACTCTCACGTACATTTTATTACCATAATGAATCAGTAAAACAATGACTGAACAAGTAAGACCTTTATTTAAAATAATGACTGAACAAGTGAGACACTTATGCGAAACAATGACTGAACAAGTGAGACACTAATTTATCAATCAAGATATAATTCACCTGACAGTTACTCATGTGGTAGCTGAATGTATGATCACATGTGAGCATTAATCACCTAGTGCAGTCTTTTTAGGAAATACATACCAGTAAAACTAAAGTCATGAGAAATAATCAGAAAACAGAAAATCTACTTATCTTAAATGATGAAGCAATAGAAGAAGAAGAGTTGATATACCTCAGAAGTAAAGTTACTCCAATGTGGATTCTGAAAAGGCTGTAACAGCAAGTATAAACAAAGCAAATCAAGCATTTTCCATGTTTAAAAGTATGTGGACATCCAAGTGACTTAGTTTGAAGACAAAACTTTGATTATACAAGAGCAACACTGTAGAAAAACAATTATTCACCTGTGAGTGTTGGAGAATGACAGCACATTGTTGACCAGATCTCAGATTGATCAATGGAAATATTGTTCTAGTACCATATAGCACAGCAGCTAGATGCTGGCCTGTTGGTCTAGAGTTCTGAGGTTTGAATCAACACCAGGGGCAGTTAGAAAATAAAATGGACTTGGCTCTCAGGTCAGTCCAGCCTTAAACGGGTACCAGAAGATGTCCCATCATCCTTTGAGTGTCAAACGATCAATAAAACTAGAGAATATCACCATATCTTGATGGGACACTGGTGTGACAAGGGCAGTTTACTCTCACATTTTACTTGAATGACTTGTCTCCTTCTCTTGATAAACTGGACATGAGGAATTCTGTTCAATAATTTCGTCTTTGTATCTGACAATTACTCCAGGATCTAGATCAGACTAAAAGAAGTCAAAAGAAACAGCAGACGTCACAGTCGGCTACCGAGGTTCGATTAAACAGGGCTTTAGAGGAAATAGAGAAGTACAGAGAACAACTGCTGCAAGCTAAAAGCACTTCAAAGGTAGGAGTAGATCAGTTACGGTTGACCGATCCAGTTTTTACTTTCTCTCTGTATTTACAGACTTTGTAGTCGAATGCTTTATGCATTTTTTGGGTTTAACAATGTCTAACTGATGACGAGGATGAAAGGTGTGGCAAGCTAGATGGTTTGTATGCTAGGCTCATGAAGGAGACTTGGGTTTGAATCCTTAGTAAGTGGATGGACGTTTTTTTTTCTGTTAATGCAAAAATAAACGTTAACCTGCACATTTTGTGGCCGTGCTTATGTTCAAACCCTTTATCCTACACATTTTGAGCTTGCTGTAAGTCATCTTAAGTAATTGTGAAAGCATCTTCAAGGTGTTGTTGGAACTCAAAACACTTTTCCAGATCTTTAGTTTTAGAAATATTTAACCTAGGGGTTGATGTGATTCTTGTCATGAACATTCTCTGTGGTCTCAGCTAAACTCCTGTAGCAGCTAGGGAAAGTGTCTCTGTCACAGTCAGAGCTAAACTCCTGTAGCAGCTAGGGAAAGTCTCAGTGTCACAGTCAGAGCTAAACTCCTGTAGCAGCTAGGGAAAGTCTCAGTGTCACAGTCAGAGCTAAACTCCTGTAGCAGCTAGGGAAAGTCTCAGTGTCACAGTCAGAGCTAAACTCCTGTAGCAGCTAGGGAAAGTCTCAGTGTCACAGTCAGAGCTAAACTCCTGTAGCAGCTAGGGAAAGTCTCAGTGTCACAGTCAGAGCTAAACTCCTGTAGCAGCTAGGGAAAGTCTCAGTGTCACAGTCAGAGCTAAACTCCTGTAGCAGCTAGGGAAAGTCTCAGTGTCACAGTCAGAGCTAAACTCCTGTAGCAGCTAGGGAAAGTCTCAGTGTCACAGTCAGAGCTAAACTCCTGTAGCAGCTAGGGAAAGTCACAGTCAGAGCTAAACTCCTGTAGCAGCTAGGGAAAGTCTCAGTGTCACAGTCAGAGCTAAACTCCTGTAGCAGCTAGGGAAAGTCTCAGTGTCACAGTCAGAGCTAAACTCCTGTAGCAGCTAGGGAAAGTCTCAGTGTCACAGTCAGAGCTAAACTCCTGTAGCAGCTAGGGAAAGTCTCAGTGTCACAGTCAGAGCTAAACTCCTGTAGCAGCTAGGGAAAGTCTCAGTGTCACAGTCAGAGCTAAACTCCTGTAGCAGCTAGGGAAAGTCTCAGTGTCACAGTCAGAGCTAAACTCCTGTAGCAGCTAGGGAAAGTCTCAGTGTCACAGTCAGAGCTAAACTCCTGTAGCAGCTAGGGAAAGTCTCAGTGTCACAGTCAGAGCTAAACTCCTGGAGCAGCTAGGGAAAGTCTCAGTGTCACAGTCAGAGCTAAACTCCTGGAGCAGCTAGGGAAAGTCTCAGTGTCACAGTCAGAGCTAAACTCCTGTAGCAGCTAGGGAAAGTCTCAGTGTCACAGTCAGAGCTAAACTCCTGTAGCAGCTAGGGAAAGTCTCAGTGTCACAGTCAGAGCTAAACTCCTGTAGCAGCTAGGGAAAGTCTCAGTGTCACAGTCAGAGCTAAACTCCTGTAGCAGCTAGGGAAAGTCTCAGTCAGAGCTAAACTCCTGTAGCAGCTAGGGAAAGTCTCAGTGTCACAGTCAGAGCTAAACTCCTGTAGCAGCTAGGGAAAGTCTCAGTGTCACAGTCAGAGCTAAACTCCTGTAGCAGCTAGGGAAAGTCTCAGTGTCACAGTCAGAGCTAAACTCCTGTAGCAGCTAGGGAAAGTCTCAGTGTCACAGTCAGAGCTAAACTCCTGTAGCAGCTAGGGAAAGTCTCAGTGTCACAGTCAGAGCTAAACTCCTGTAGCAGCTAGGGAAAGTCTCAGTGTCACAGTCAGAGCTAAACTCCTGTAGCAGCTAGGGAAAGTCTCAGTGTCACAGTCAGAGCTAAACTCCTGTAGCAGCTAGGGAAAGTCTCAGTGTCACAGTCAGAGCTAAATTCCTGTAGCAGCTAGGGAAAGTCTCAGTGTCACAGTCAGAGCTAAACTCCTGTAGCAGCTAGGGAAAGTCTCAGTGTCACAGTCAGAGCTAAACTCCTGTAGCAGCTAGGGAAAGTCTCAGTGTCACAGTCAGAGCTAAACTCCTGTAGCAGCTAGGGAAAGTCTCAGTGTCACAGTCAGAGCTAAACTCCTGTAGCAGCTAGGGAAAGTCTCAGTGTCACAGTCAGAGCTAAACTCCTGTAGCAGCTAGGGAAAGTCTCAGTGTCACAGTCAGAGCTAAACTCCTGTAGCAGCTAGGGAAAGTCTCAGTGTCACAGTCAGAGCTAAACTCCTGTAGCAGCTAGGGAAAGTCTCAGTGTCACAGTCAGAGCTAAACTCCTGTAGCAGCTAGGGAAAGTCTCAGTGTCACAGTCAGAGCTAAACTCCTGTAGCAGCTAGGGAAAGTCTCAGTGTCACAGTCAGAGCTAAACTCCTGTAGCAGCTAGGGAAAGTCTCAGTGTCACAGTCAGAGCTAAACTCCTGTAGCAGCTAGGGAAAGTCTCAGTGTCACAGTCAGAGCTAAACTCCTGTAGCAGCTAGGGAAAGTCTCAGTGTCACAGTCAGAGCTAAACTCCTGTAGCAGCTAGGGAAAGTCTCAGTGTCACAGTCAGAGCTAAACTCCTGTAGCAGCTAGGGAAAGTCTCAGTGTCACAGTCAGAGCTAAACTCCTGTAGCAGCTAGGGAAAGTCTCAGTGTCACAGTCAGCACTGTGCTAGCTGTGTCTTAGTGATATATAGTTCAGGTAATGTTCCCTTGTTATTTCCTACACAGCTTAGAAAAGTGCTAAGTGCAGCCAGTATATATAGTTTTTAAATAAAAAACCTAACTGTCATACTGACTTGTTTTTCCCCTCCATTTTTAGACTGAAAGGATATATTTTCGTCGCCCAGCTACTGAGTTTAGTGCATAGCCCAACATTGTGAGCTGCAGATTTCGTTTGAAATGTTTTTTGACTGTGGCCAGCATAATGTTGAACTGTCGAGTCAGAAATTGGCATGTGACCTGTTGCCACGGAACTTCCCGGTCCTTATAGATTTATCGTGTGTGCAACTGCTGCTTCCATTGATGATGAACTGCATTTCTAGGTTGGACTGTTTGTGTTAGCACTTCTGACAGCTGCCTTATGCTTTTGAAGCATGTGTATGCTATTGGCTTTACTGAGACTGCAGTCTGTGTCAATTTCTCCCCCCACAAGGGACAGTGATGGACATTCTGTTGCCACAAGGGACAGTGATAGACATTCTGTTTCCACAAGGGATAATGATGGACATTCAGTTGCCACAAGGGACAGTGATGGACATTCTGTTGCCACAAGGGACAGTGATAGACATTCTGTTTCCACAAGGGACAGTCATGGATATTCTCTTTGGTTTCCATTGGCGCAGGAACAGAGCAACTATGGGGTGACCCGTTTGTTATGAAGTTGAAACTACGATTACCTGATCTGTTCTTTCCAAGATGGTGGGGTGCTATCTTCATGTTTGAAAAGTGTTACAGGAGCAAGAAGAATGAAAAGGGAGGAGGAAAAATAATAAGAAAAAGCAGCAGCAGCAGCAGATGGAAGATGTGAAGATACAGGAAGATGAGGAGGAACAGGTTAAGGTGAAAAGGATGAAGTTTTGGAGGAAAGAAGAAAATATGGAAGTGAAGAGATTTTATAAAAATGTTAGCAAGTCCCAAAAACTATGAGCGCCAGGCCTGACAGTTAAGAATACCAGGCTTTCATTCAAATCCTCTGTTTTATTTAACAAATGGTTGAATGTTTCACTAAAATATTGACTGCATTTTCCACTAAATTAATGATTGTATGTTCTGTCAAACTAATGATTGGATGTTCTGTAAAACTAATGATGGGATGTTTAGTCAAAGTAATGATTGTATGTTCAGTCAAACTAATGATTGTATGTTCTGTCAAAGTAATGATTGTAGGTTAGTCAAACTAATGATTGTATGTTCAGTCAAACTAATGATTGTATGTTCAGTCAAACTAATGATTGTATGTTCAGTCAAACTAAAGATTGTATGTTCTGTCAGGACTCCCAAGATTCCGACAAGAAGAGGCTGGAGCAGCTTCTGGCTGACAATAAACGGCTGGAAAAACAGAAAAATGAACTCATGGCCGGCTTTAAGAAACAGATGAAACTCATTGATGTTCTTAAAAGACAGAAGGTCAGTTTAGGAATGTTTCGTCATCATCATGTTACAGATTTGTGGAAATCGATGTGTTGGGCCTAAAGGTGTGGATATTGCAACCTGGCTGTAAACCACAGCATAATTCATTTGATTTGATCCAAAAATGGACATCACAGTGCTCAGAGCATTCCCATAAGCACTCCTTTCCCCATCTTCAGCAGCCAACGCAGAGTTCCACTTCCAATAGTGCCAGTAGTAGTCTGATTATATGTCCATTATCTTTCCTCTGAGCGTCAAGTATCGGACAAACCCTCTCATCACTCCTCGCTGTATCACTCTCACAGACTGTGATGATTTTTGCTGTTTCAGATTGTACTTGTGCTCCCATAAGGCCCTAACCATGTCTACCTTATCATGTATCAGTAGTCCATCAAATTGTGAACAGCCAGCCAATCTGTCTGTCCTTTCATCTTGCAATATGAGCATACTCCAGAGAAGAGATCCATAATGTAAGGAGTCTTTTAATGGTGGTTGTAGAAGGAGAAGATGATGTAGCAGGCCCTCTGTAGAAAATCACTGCCATTAAAGCCTGCAAGAAAGACTCTCAGTCGGTGTCCAACACATCCAGTTTCTCAGTCCGTGTCCAACACATCCAGTTTCTCAGCCCGTGTCCAAACCATCCAGTTTCTCAATCCGTCCAACACATCCAGTTTCTCAGTCGGTGTATAACACATCCAGTTTCTCAGTCCGCATCCAACACATCCAGTTTCTGAGTCCGTGTCCAACACATCCAGTTTCTCAGTCCGTGTCTAACACATCCAGTTTATCAGTCCAACACATCCAATTTCAGTAAAATAGTAAAACCATAATTAGTTACATTTTATTACATTTATGTTAGAGGGCAACAAATGTGCAAAAAGAAGAGGTGGAGGAGGAAGAAGTGATGGAGGAAGAAGATGAAGAAGACATGGAGAAGGAAGAATATGAAAAAGAGGTGAAGGAGAAAGAAGATGAAGACGTGGAGGAGGAAGAAGATGAAGAAGAGGTGAAGGAGGAAGAGGATGAAGAAGTGAAAGAGGAAGAAGATAAAGGAGAGGTGAAGGAGGAAGAAGATGAAGAAGTGGTGGAGAAGGAAGAAGATGAAAAAGACACGGAGGAGGAAGAAGATGAAGAAAACAGGTGGAGGAGGAAGAAGATGAAGACGTGGAGGAAGAAGAAGATGAAGAAGAGGTGAAGGAGGAAGAGGATAAAAGTGGTAGTCTGATGCATAGTTATAGAGCTTGATCTAATGGCTGACATGCTTACAGATGCACATTGAGGCGGCCAAGATGTTGCAGTTTACAGAAGAGGAGTTCATCAGAGCCCTGGAGTGGGGCAGTTGAAACTGGAAAACATCTGACTTCCTCTTCAACATTATCATCTAGAGCCGTCTTATGAGATGTTCTGACAATGATTCATTTATGCTATTACAGACAAAACAATGATACATTCCATATATTTCCACTGTGACAGTCAACACAGTAATGCATTTGCACCATGACAGACAACACAGTGATACATTTCCACTATGACAGACACCATGATACATTTCCACCATGACAGATAACACAGTGATACATTTCCACTATGACAGACACCATGATACATTTCCACCATGACAGACACCATGACAGACAACACAGTGATACATTTCCACTATGACAGACAACACCATCATACATTTTCACTATGACAGACAACACAGATACATTTCCACTATGACAGACAACACCATCATACATTTTCACTATGACAGACAACACAGATACATTTCCACTATGACAGACAACACCATCATACATTTTCACTATGACAGACAACACAGATACATTTCCACTATGGCAGACAACACCATCATACATTTCCACCATGACAGACAACACAGTGATACATTTCCACCATGACAGACAACACAGTGATACATTTCCACTATGGCAGACAACACAGATAAATTCTCACTAAGACAACACCATCATACATTTCCACTATGACAGACAACTTAGTGATACATTGCCTTATTTGTATGTTTGATCACAAAAGAAATGATTGTGTTTTGGGAATAAAATTAATGAAGCCTGTGTTCAGCTTGATAAAATATATAGCATTTTTCTTTTAACTGTTTCAAAAAGACTTTTACAATAGCAAACATAGAAAAAAAAACTTAAAAAAAAAAAATGAAAAAAAAACCCCAACAAATGTCTGCTTTCTTTGTTCTGCAGTGAAGAAGGGGTAGTACTGCTGGCAGATATAAAAAAAATGGTTTATCTTTACACTCCACCGAGTTTTTTCTGAACGGCTGAACCCACCTCTGTAGAGATACTAACCACCCACTGAGGGTGTCGCACAAAGTATGAGAACAATACTAAGAATTCACTAAGATCTTTACAAAAACCAAAAATAATTAACAGGACCGAATGATGCAGGTCAAAAAGAAACTGACGACCACAAAATTCAAATGGCTAGATATTAGATCCTGGCAAAGGTTACACAGCTAAAAAAAAAAAAAAAATTATTAAAAAGTTATTATTTAGATACTACTCATAAAACCTTCTTAGCAGGAAGAATCTTAAAATATACGAAGGTGCAATTACCCTCATATTCGTCCCAGGGTATGCAGGCGTTGTTGGTAATGAGAGAGCAGATAGACTGGCAGGTGCTGCATTAATTGAAGATGGCCAGCCCAGGGATCACGCAGACATTGTCATTGCCCTTAGAGAGATAGGATGTTCTGAGGATTTGGGAAGCAACGTGTCCACATCACTGCTAAGAATATGTGAATTGGGAGTAAAGATCGGCACAGCCAAGCATGAGAAGTACACCAGACGCAAACAAAGTCTTATTAACCAACATAGGACATTTCAGCCAACAAAAACTGATCTAATAAAGCAAATCATATCTCTGGACAGATGTAACCAATTTTGGAGAACAAACATGCAACAACTGACACCGACATAAAGCAGTTTTTTTTCCCACAAACATGGTGTAACCAGTTCCAAACACAAACATTGTGTAACCAGTTCCAAACACAAACATTGTGTAACCAGTTCCAAACACAAACATTGTGTAACCAGTTTCAAACACAAACATTAACAACAAAAAGAAACAAAAAAAGATCACAAATGATGATGTCGGGAAAGAAGTTGGAACAGAGCCAGTACTAAAACATATCAAGAGACAACAGGTCAAATCATTTGGACATTTGTCATGACTTCCACCAGACAGTGCACGACAGTGAGCCCTGTTACTGAGCCACAAGTGAACCAGACAGTGCACCACAGAGAGCCCTGTTACTGAGCCACAAGTGAACCAGACAGTGCACCACAGAAAGCCCTGTTACTGAGCCACAAGTGAACCAGACAGTGCACCACAGAGAGCCCTGTTCCTGAGACACAAGTGAACCAGATAGTGCACCACAGAGAGCCCTGTTACTGAGACACAAGTGAACCACATAGTGCACCACAGAGAGCCCTGTTACTGAAGCACAAGTGAACCACATAGTGCACCACAGAGAGCCCTGTTACTGAGACACAAGTGAACCAGACAGTGCACCACAGGGAGCCCTGTTACTGAGACACAAGTGAACCAGATAGTGCACCACAGAGAGCCCTGTTACTGAGACAAAAGTGAACCAGAGCCAGAGTTCGACCACACAAGCGATGGATAGATGGAATATCCAAGGCCCTAAATATCAGCAACTATGTAGCACATACCAAGGCTCTCACCCTGATGCTGCTTCAAAACTTGACACTGAAAGGCAGAACAGGACTAGAGAAGAAGTCAGAGATGTGTGAGCCACACAAGCACCTCATGTTCTTCAATCTGATGCTCTGACGGCTTTCTGTCTCTTGTGTAGCTAATCATTTCTGCCACAAACGTTCGTCCACCCATGCTACCAAACTGCTCTTCTCCTCCTTTGGTCCTCCTCTGCCCACCCCCACAAGCTGTCCTTTTATCAGTCATCTGGCACCTTTCCAGATGACAGTGCTATACTGTACTATTTTGAAGTACAAGAATCACAACCCATGACGATGGCAAGTGTGACTAACAAGACGTGCCTGCATTAAGAAAAGTCTACCATGATTAGAGCTTGGTATCTTGGGACCACTGCATGTATTTAGTCCGTTTCTTCTTTGATGCTCTGCTATGAATTTTTGTGCATACACATTTCCTTTATTCCCTTTCACTTCCTGTCAACCCCTCTCCCCCTGCCACATGGTCCATAACATTTTGTTCCCACAAACCTAGCCCAATACCTTATTGTTCCTGCATAACCACTATCGGATTAGAGTCCAACAAAATGATCTTTTGGCAACATAAGTGAACCACAGGGAGCACTGTTACTGAGACACAAGTGAACCAAACCTGGCAACACGGCCAGGACAAAGAAAATGGATAGTGTTCCTAAATTGACATTGGCTAAAAAAAAAAACCTGGCCAGAAATACACATAATAAGTAAAACAACGAAATAAAAAAATTCTATGCCAAGCTGTGCAGAATTGTCTCTCTCTGGATCTTCTTCTGCCTCTTTTTCCTCTCAACTTTCCTCTTGTCACAACCTACTCCAGCTTTCCCCCTTCCTTCTCTAGATGTAATCTCCTAAAGCTGATAATTAGTTATCTTTGTGAGATTATTTCTGTCAAGGGAAGCCACTACAATGCAGCAGTCAGACTCTCGCCTGCGGATATGAAGGGCATAGGTTCAGGTCCTAATAGAGATTTGTTCAGAAACGACCTCAGTTTCCAGGTCAACGCAGCCTAAAGTCATGGGAAGCAAAGGCAGCTGGCGTGATGTTGACCATATGAATGACCGAGTGCCGTAGACTATAAAATATAGGTCTAGTGTTACAGTCGGCTCTGTGGCTAAGTCGATGCGAACACTTCGCTTCGTAATGCCGGGATGCCAGGTTCGATCCCAGCTGCGGGCAATGCGCCTTGCGTTGGTTTCGACAGTGGTATCAAGAAAGCCGACCGTCCAGAAAGCAATGGCAAACTACTGGACGTAAATTTGCCTAGAGAAACCACACAACAGCCAGGGGCTGTTAGGGTTGGTTCTGCAACGTCCTAAAGAGGATACGCAACAACCTTTTTTCTAGTGCTACATGCCTAATATGCTTAAAGGCGTGGAAAAGGGCCCTTTACTTTGGGGGGGGGGGGGGGGGGGGGGGGTTTTTTTTTGTGGGGGGGGGGGGGGGGGGGGTTTTTTTTGTTTTTTTTTTCCAAGACACTCTGAATAAACTTTGTTGTTCTCGTTTGCTATAAAAACGCATCTCTGTAATTGACTTTATACACCAAGATTGGCTCTATATAGCAACAGTCATGAATAAAAGCAAAATATACATGTATAAAATATTACAAAAATTTTAAGACAACTTTACAATATAAATAATTTAAAATTAAAAATCATCCTGACTATCATTTTCTCTGAGTGATGATCCCAAATCCTTGGCGTCCATGAGTCCAGATCCCCTTCTCTCAGCTGAGTATACGCCATCGTCATCATCATCATCATCATAATGATGACTCTCTTCGGCTGTACTGTCCAGCTGGGATTCTCCCCTTGGGTGCATTCTGCTGGAGTCCACAAAACTCTCCCTGGTTGTTGACCTGGATGTGTTGAAAACAAATATAAATGCATTTGCAAAATTATCAATGTTGAGATTAAAGAGAATGATGAAACAGCTACACACTTGCAAGAAAGTCCAACATGTATGACAGAGATAACTATTGTGGCTCACACCTTGAGAGGACAAACTCTGCAGATGTCAATAAACTGAATCTGTCTGCTGTTTTTCTTTAAAACACATTGATGGCAGTATCCACAAGTGTGTAATGAAGACCTTTTTTTGTATTCACCAGCATTTACAAACAAGAGTTTACAAACTCTTATGGCAAGTTTTGGTTGTCTGCCCACTTCTGGACTTTAGTCTTGTCCCAGAACTTGTGCCTTGCGTGCACATCAGTTTTACAGATCTGGCTTATTTGTGTGAATTAATCAAGTAACAGAAAGTATTGTGAAGACTATTGATGGTTGCCCCCCAAGCAGAATGAAACATCAATCCTGTGTAGGCCAGGCTCCCAGCTGGGAATCCACTTTTAGATGACCGCAGACAGTTATAGATAGACCCTGACCAGCCTTTTACCACCATCATGGAAAAGTGGATCTGTTCTTTAAAAAAAAAAATCCTGGCCAAGGTCCCATTATTGTATGCTGCATTTAATGCATACTTGAAACCCGTTGAAAACGATGCCTCGCATACAACAAACAAAGTGTCTAGTTGATGATTTAAGCTTACAGTACGAGGTGTAACGCTGTTCAGCATGACTTAACAATCTGCTCACCGATACAAACTTTTATTTAACAGGACGTTTGTGTCCATCAACACCACGACACACATAGGATGCAATAATATATCACACAAGGTGCCGTCTATAGCATAATGATGGCATTCAAGAGTTTACTACACCAACACTCCGCATCATAATTACCAGCAGCGCTCTAAAACGCAGCCTGAACCTTGCTGTCGTTCCTGGATACACGAGCTATCACTGCCTCTGTGCTTGTTTTTTTTTTCCCAAAACTAAAACTTGATGGACCAATACTTGAGTCCATGTGATTGGTGTTTATAAATTCAAAGACTTTCTTGAATGCTTCATCACCGTTACTTGAACCGCTGTCTTCATTTTTTATGTGGATGACTATTGACTGGACACAGGCTAACCTTCAGCTCAGCGGCTAGTCATGCTTGGGTATTGCACTCAGCGGCTAGTCATGCTTGGGTATTGCACTCAGCGGCTAGTCATGCTTGGGTATTGCACTCAGCGGCTAGTCATGCTTGGGTATTGCACTCAGCGGCTAGTCATGCTTGGGTATTGCACTCAGCGGCTAGTCATGCTTGGGTATTGCACTCAGCGGCTAGTCATGCTTGGGTATTGCACTCAGCGGCTAGTCATGCTTGGGTATTGCACTCAGCGGCTAGTCATGCTTGGGTATTGCACTCAGCGGCTAGTCATGCTTGGGTATTGCACTCAGCGGCTAGTCATGCTTGGGTATTGCACTCAGCGGCTAGTCATGCTTGGGTATTGCACTCAGCGGCTAGTCATGCTTGGGTATTGCACTCAGCGGCTAGTCATGCTTGGGTATTGCACTCAGCGGCTAGTCATGCTTGGGTATTGCAGTACCCGTGGAACTGCCGTCACCCGTTAATCTTGAGAAACACTTGTTTCATAACTTCAAGCTTTGAGGACCGTTTGCACTTGTCTCTGTCATCATCATCATCTAGTGCCTTTACGACTGGTGAAGGTGATCACGCCTCTGACCCCTAGTACAATTGAATAGCAATGTGAGTTCAGCATGAAAAATGCGGCAGTAGGTTACACGACCTGTCCAATGTTGCGGGGGTGTCAGGTATTCCATATTTTCAACGGTTTGACCATTTTTTCTTTTCATGTGTTGTCACTGCTCACTTGTGTGATTATTTTTACGTTGTGCTACCTCCCCGAGAGTTTAGAAGTATGGAAACTGGGATGTTTTTGTATTTCTACACCCCTTTTCAGTGGCTTCTTTTTATCGAGGGAAGCCACACCAAGGAAGGTAGAAATAAGAAAACATCCTAGTTTAGATACTCACAAACAGTTGCACCTTCGGCTCTTCCCCTGCAGTACTTCTTACTTGCACACAAACGCCTGTGTCACCTTAAAGAGACTCACGACTACACAACCTCCCACAAACATTATATACAGCAAGCGAATGCCAAAAGAAGCTTTTTTATAACACCCCCACAACATAGGACAGGCTGTGCAACCCACCGCGGCATGAATGGAAGGAAAGGAACTCTTATCGTGTGGGCTAGTTCATGATAAGTTCCCTTTATTTAAGTTGTTTTTTTCCCTATTACTCTGACAGGGCTCCTAAGGGATCTCATCTCTGTTATGATTGTTTGCTTATTCGGACAGTCACTATGATAGTGGACCTAAGATATAAAGGAGAGTTCACAAGGCAACAAAGTAGGCGGTGGATAGCATCACTTTCCAGTGTGCCATAATGAGAGTGACCCTCTATAAAGGACCTGCTACATGATGATGATGATGATGAGAATGATGATATGTGGTTAGGGTCAAGGTTTGACACTGGTAACAAAATGTTGACCAGAAAATATTCCCTGTGAGATGTTCCTTGGTCAACAAAGATATCTTTCTTTGTGTGTTTCTCCATCAGAGGTGACAACTGACCCTAGGCATATTACATTCATTTGCTTGTTTTATCTTTTTCTTCTTCACTTCCTCTTTTACCGCTGTGGGTGTCGAGGGATTGTTTATCTTTACTTACTTTTATAACAAAGTAGCCTCATGGGAACTGTGGCAGCCAAGCAACTAGACATTCGCCTGCCAGCCTGAAGATCTAGGGTTCAAATCCACATCGCACTGGATGCGTTCATCCCCCCCCCCCCCCCCTCATCGACCTTGGTTGCCAGGCTAATCCAGCCAGACATGTGTACCACATAATGTCCTTGAGCCAGCCTGACATGTGTACCACATAATGTCCTAGAGCCAGCCTGACATGTGTACCACATAATGTCCTTGAGCCAGCCTGACATGTGTACCACATAATGTCCTTGAAAGAAAAGGGGGCAGCCCAATATTGACCACATAACCCATCCAGTGCCGACTGGCCTATACAAATATAGGCCTAGCTCAGTTTGCCTGATTCTTCAAAAGTTTTGAAAAGGGTCCTTGACATTTAAAAAACACAACAACTTACTAACCTCATGAAATCCAAAGATTCCTTCTCTAGCTTCCCACTGTCCTGCAGACAGAAGATGCAGAAATGAGTGTTGCACTGGGATCAGTCATTCTGCTGTGGCAGTTTCTATTGGTAAATAAGGCACTGTCTGTGCATTTCTGTTGTTACTGTACATTAATGTTGTGTCTGTGTGTTAATGTTGTGTCTGTGTGTTAATGTTGTGTCTGTGTGTTAATGTTGTGTCTGTGTGTTAATGTTGTGTCTGTGTGTTAATGTTGTGTCTGTGTGTTAATGTCGTGTCTGTGTGTTAATGTCGTGTCTGTGTGTTAATGTTGTGTCTGTGTGTTAATGTTGTGTCTGTGTGTTAATGTTGTGTCTGTGTGTTAATGTCTTGTCTGTGTGTTAATGTCGTGTCTGTGTGTTAATGTTGTGTCTGTGTGTTAATGTCGTGTCTGTGTGTTAATGTTGTGTCTGTGTGTTAATGTTGTGTCTGTGTGTTAATGTTGTGCCTGTGTGTTAATGTTGTGTCTGTGTGTTAATGTTGTGTCTGTGTGTTAATGTCGTGTCTGTGTGTTAATGTAGTGTCTGTGTGTAAATGTCGTGTCTGTGCATTAATGTCATGTCTGCGGGTCAGAAAAAAAAAAGAAGCAACAGATACAACAACGACTACCTTGGCTAAATGTTCTGCAGCTTCATCCCTCTGTCCTTGCCTGTACTGAGCCACTCCTCCTTGAGAAGCATCCTCTGACTGACCTAAGCCTTCAAGTGTGTCTTTGACCAAGCGGGAATACAGCTCATCTGCTTCCTGTCTGGCCAGATCTAAAAGAAAAGATGGAAGTTAACAAAATGTTAAGTAGTGTGATATTGATTCCTTGTCCGAGTGTATTATTATATGTCACTTAGAGCTCACTGTCTGTTCCTCCATTCTGTTTGATCCTGTGCTTTCACTTCTATGTCATGAATCAATTCCAGTACAACTCTGGCTTATCTCTTCAATAAATCAGTGTGATATATCTTTCAATATTACTGTGTGTGTGTGTGTATCTCTATCTCCCTCTCTCTGTGTGGGTTGGTTGGTGGGGGTGTTTGTGTGTGTGGGGCAAGATGACAAACAGTGATTGATGTACTGGACACAGCAGGCATCAGATGGTGAGACAAGATGACAAACAGTGATTGATGTACTGGACACAGCAAGCATCAGATGGTGAGACAAGATGACAAACAGTGATTGGTGTATTGGACACAGCAGGCATCAGATGGTGAGACAAGATGACAAACAGTGATTGATGTATTGGACACAGCAGGCATCAGATGGTGAGACAAGATGACAAACAGTGATTGATGTATGGGACACAGCAGGCATCAGATGGTGAGACAGGATGACAAACAGTGATTGATGTATTGGACACAGCAGGCATCAGATGGCGAGACAAGATGACAAACAGTGATTGGTGTATTGGACACAGCAGGCATCAGATGGTGAGACAAGATGACAAACACTGATTGGTGTATTGGACACAGCAGGCATCGGATGGTGAGACAAGATGACAAACAGTGATTGGTGTATTGGACACAGCAAGCATCAGATGGTGAGACAAAATGACAAACAGTGATTGATGTATTGGACACAGCAGGCATCAGATGGTGAGACAAGATGACAAACAGTGATTGGTGTATTGGACACAGCAGGCATCAGATGGTGAGACAGGATGACAAACAGTGATTGGTGTATTGGACACAGCAGGCATCAGATGGCGAGACAAGATGACAAACAGTGATTGGTGTATTGGACACAGCAGGCATCAGATGGTGAGACAAGATGACAAACAGTGACTGGTGTATTGGACACAGCAGGCATCAGATGGTGAGACAAGATGACAAACAGTGATTGGTGTATTGGACACAGCAGGCATCAGATGGTGAGACAAGATGACAAACTGTGATTGGTGTATTGGACACAGCAGGCATCAGATGGTGAGACAGAATGACAAACAGTGATTGGTGTATTGGACACAGCAGGCATCAGATGGCGAGACAAGATGACAAGCAGGGACGAGACAAAATGGCAAAAACAGTGATTGATGTATTGGACACAGCAGTCATCATGAGAATTTTAACAATGCTCAGTCTCTGAAGTCTGAGATGGCCAGGGCACATTTGGAGGATAGAGAATAGCAGAGACATCCTCTAGGGTGAATTATAGATGGGTAGAAGATGTCCAGTTCTGTCCCTTCTATGACGTAACCATGTGTGCAAGTACTGAGGTGGCTCTGCAGTAGGAGGATGCAGATCACAGTGCTTGGTGGGAGAAAATCATGAAGAAAACAGAGACACAGGAGAAACTGAGGAAGAAAACAGAGACAGGAGAAACTGAGGAAGAAAACAGATAGGAGAAACAGGAAGAAAACAGAGACAGGAGAAACTGAGGAAGAAAACAGAGACAGGAGAAACTGAGGAAGAAAACGGAGACACAGGAGAAACTGAGGAAGAAAACAGAGACACAGGAGAAACTGAGGAAGAAAACAGACACAGGAGAAACTGAGGAAGAAAACAGATAGGAGAAAATCATGAAGAAAACAGAGACACAGGAGAAACTGAGGAAGAAAACAGAGACAGGAGAAACTGAGGAAGAAAACAGATAGGAGAAAATCATGAAGAAAACAGAGACACAGGAGAAACTGAGGAAGAAAACAGATAGGAGAAAATCATGAAGAAAACAGAGACACAGGAGAAACTGAGGAAGAAAACAGACACAGGAGAAACTGAGGAAGAAAACAGACACAGGAGAAACTGAGGAAGAAAACAGATAGGAGAAAATCATGAAGAAAACAGAGACACAGGAGAAACTGAGGAAGAAAACAGAGACAGGAGAAACTGAGGAAGAAAACAGATAGGAGAAAATCATGAAGAAAACAGAGACACAGGAGAAACTGAGGAAGAAAACAGATAGGAGAAAATCATGAAGAAAACAGAGACACAGGAGAAACTGAGGAAGAAAACAGACACAGGAGAAACTGAGGAAGAAAACAGAGACACAGGAGAAACTGAGGAAGAAAACAGAGACACAGGAGAAACTGAGGAAGAAAACAGATAGGAGAAAATCATGAAGAAAACAGAGACACAGGAGAAACTGAGGAAGAAAACAGATAGGAGAAAATCATGAAGAAAACAGAGACACAGGAGAAACTGAGGAAGAAAACAGATAGGAGAAAATCATGAAGAAAACAGAGACACAGGAGAAAATCATGGGGGGAAAAAAGAGACACCGGAAAAACTGAGGAAGAAAACAGAGACACAGGAGAAAATCATGAAGAAAACAGAGGCACAGGAGAATAGGAGTAATAAAACATGACACACAGGAGAATAGGAGTAATAAAACATGACACACAGGAGAATAGGAGTAATAAAACATGACACACAGGAGAATAGGAGTAATAAAACATGACACACAGGAGAATAGGAGTAATAAAACATGACACACAGGAGAATAGGAGTAATAAAACATGACACACAGGAGAATAGGAGTAATAAAACATGACACACAGGAGAATAGGAGTAATAAAACATGACACACAGGAGAATAGGAGTAATAAAACATGACACACAGGAGAATAGGAGTAATAAAACATGACACAGAGGAGAAACTGAGGAAGAAAAAAGACACACAGGAGAAACTGAGGAAGAAAACAGAGACACAGGAGAAACTGAGGAAGAAAACAGAGACACAGGAGAAAATCATGAAGAAAACAGCACAGGAGAATAGGAGTAATAAAACATGACACAGGAGAAACTGAAGAAGAAAAAAGAGACGCAGGAGAAAAAGACTGCAGACATGTTAAGAGCTGAGAGTCTGAGACGAAGCACATTAAAAACATGTGACCGCAACAATGGTCTTAAAATCCCATGCTGTAATTGTGGAAGGTTTTTCTTAACATGGATGGGGCTTGCTAGTCACACTCACCATAGCTATGGGCTGTGATTACCACACCATCTGATAGCACAATATCTATTCTTTTCTCTACTCCTGGAATGCCTAGCAGCGTCAGGGCAGGAAGAGATCTCTGTTTGCTTCATATATAGTACTTTTCAGTGTCTCTGATAGTTCGGTCATGCATGTTCTGCGTGGTTGACCTCTGGCTCTGTTACTGTTGTATCTGAATAACACTGCTCTCTGTGGTCCCCTGTCTGATGCCAATCTTGTTACATGGCCAAACCATTGAATTTTTTTGTCTACCTATAAAGTTTGGTATTGGTTCTGTGCTGACTCCGCCTGATATCTTCCTCCCTAAGTCAATCTTTTCTCATTACACCTAGCAAAGTACATAAACATTTCATTTCTGTCGTGACTATTTTTCTGTTGTCTTCTGAAGACAGTGTTCATATTTGACATTGACAGCACAGCCTTGGTGACTAATGAAGGGGTTTGCTGCAATCTGACGTGCTGTGATTAAAGGTGAGAATTTCACATCATGCCTGTAAACTATACCACAAGTGCCAACCATTTTTTCAATGGCAAACTCAGAAGAAGAAGAAGAAGAAGAAGAAGAAGGGGGAGGAGGAGGAGGAGAAGAAGACAAATAGGCAAAAGGTAAATATTATTAAGAATTTGTGGAAAGTAATTTTTCAAGCAGCATATTAGTGAAGGGGAATAATTAATTGTTACAATAAACATAAAGCGTATCGTATTATAGGTTACATTTTGTTTTTAAACATAACGATACCTCATATAACCTTCTACAAACTGTAAATTCTATTTACTGTTTTAAAATTTTAAAAACCTGTATAACATGATAATATTTTCTTTGATATTATTCGTGTTCAACTTAAAATTATACAACACGGTTAGCATTTTCAAAATGCTTTTTAAATGTATATTTTCAGAGCATGTTTTTTAACAACCCTGTCCCAATATGGGAAGCAATTTTGTTTATTTCAAAGCCCCTACACCGGCTGTTGTCTGGGGTTTGTGCCCAGGTGACTCTTTTACAATTGGTGGCATTTTTTGCCCCAGGGTGTTTATCGCACCTCGTGCTGTACTGATGGGAATGAACGTCATAGTCAGTCAGTCAGTCAGTTAGTCAGTCAGTCAGTCAGTCAGTCAGTCAGTCAGTCAGTCAGTCAGTCAGTCAGTCAGTCAGTCAGTCAGTTAGTCAGTCAGTCAGTCAGTTAGTCAGTCAGTCAGTTAGTCAGTCAGTTAGTCAGGCATCTTTCTCAACAATCATTCGCCCGACCCTGTCTAATTGTACGTGACTGTACAACTCTACGTGTGGCTGTATGTGAGGTTTGTACTGGCTGCTGACAATGGGGACACAGTGCAATGATGTCAGTTCATATCCCAACCACCTCTACTGAAACCTCAGATAGGACCCCAAAAGAACTGTAACTACCACTCCTGATGGCTGTTTACGGGAACACAGATTATTTCCCAAATTTATATGGAGATTCATAAGGGCTGCCGCTGGAGTTATGGAGTTCATGCTTTGTGTGACATTTTTTAGTGGTAGCTAACCAATTATACAGAGAGACACTGAGACATTTGGGATAAAACTCGATGCAATCAAGTTGATTCTCAGACTTAAAACCTTACAAGGATCAATTATAGTCAGTAACGAAGTCAGAAGAGAAACTAGATTATTATGGGCTGGAGAGAATGATGCACCTGGGTGTGACCAGAGGGTTAGGCCCGGCACACTATGCTCAGAGGAAAGGCAAGATGAACTTCCAACCTGACTGGTACCATTAGTATTGGAACTCTGCGCTGGCTGCTGAGGATGGGGATGAAGTGCTTATGGGAATGCCCCAAGTACTGTAATGTCAATTCTTAACTCAACTCAACTCTACTCATTTACAGTCCTGCAAGTATAAATGCAGAGAGCACTGAACTCTGTTACTGTCATTCAATAGCAGACAAGAAGCAAAGGCAACACATATTAATGACGGAAAAAGCTGAGGGAATACCACTTACCACTCTCTTCATCATAAACTGAGCCCTTCAAATACTGACTTCTGGTTAATTCGTGTCTAGAACCTGTGGCCTGTCTGGAAGTCAATGCTGACGATTCACCTGGCACAGTCACTACCTGCCCAGTTGGCTTGTGGCTGCCATTGGCAAAATCTGAAGGGCCAACAGGCATACTCTGAAAACTTGCAGCTGTGTAGAGACTATCTGCTTGCGCGATGGACATCCCTTGTCCTCCATTACTGACACTACAACTGTTCTGAGGAAGGCCATTATTGCTGTTGTGGTTATTGCGGTTAATGATCGGCATCTGAGTTACATCCAAACCTGCTATAGATGCAAGCTCGCCCAGACTGGAAGGGAGAAAACAAGAAAACAAGAAGGTAACAAATTTCACCATACAAACTATGAAAATAAAGCTTACTTTACTTACTTTTTCCTTCCACGTATGCCGCTAAGGGTTGTGGGGAGATGCAAGTTCCTGTCATAAGCAAGGCGGGCAGCATCTGATGTTCTGAGGCCATGCTTTTGGCAGGTTTCGGAGACCCCGTCAATCCACATTTTCCTTGGTATTCCTCTTGCCTTATATCCTGAGCTTCTTTGGTTGAAAATTTGTGATGTTATTTGATCATTTTTCATCCTGGTTAGATGTCCAAACCATTTCATTCTTTGATGTTCTATGTAGTCTAAACATGGTGTAGTTTTGACAGTGTTTCTAATGTCTATATTCTTTATCCTGTCTAGTCTGGTCTTATTCGCTGCTTTTCTTAGACATTTCATTTCACAGGCTTCTATTTTTCTTTCATGGGTCTTGTTGATTGTCCATGTCTGGCACTGGTAGCAGAGTGTTGGAATGAAGATGGTGTTTATCAAGGGAAAAGGACACAAATGAGCATAGAAACAATAGAGCGTTTTGACCAAAGTCTTTATCAACTAATTCAACAACAAGAACCCGACACCATTACCACAGCCGAGAAAGTTACACAGGAAAAGAAACGGGACATTTGACAAATGTGAACAGAAAGAAAGAGCTGTTGCCAAATCTTCTTCTTCTTTGCGTTCACCGGCTGTAAACTCTAGTGGAAAGTTCTGGTTGTTTGTCCACCTCTGGACCTTGGTCTTGCTCCAGAACCTGAGTGTTGCATGGATATCCATTTAACACATCTGATGAATCTGTATGCAGATTATTGGTTCCTTGCCTCACAGGCAGAGGCACTCTGACTTTGAAGGAAGCTCTCCCAATTAGTTGACTCTTACTACATGCTTGTTGGGGAGGCAGAGGGTCTGTTCATGTTTTCCCCACAATAGGGCACCAGAACCCACAGGGGGATGTTGTGAAATAAAACATGAACAAAGGAACAAAAAAGAGGAGAGAAATTAAAAAAAAATAACATAAGAATTTGTTGTTTTGTATGTGCGTATAAATATCTTTCTCTGTGTGCGTGTATGCGAATTTGTTGTTTGTATGTGCGTATAAACATCTTTCTCTGTGTGCGTGTGTGCGCTTGCACGTGCATGTCAGCAAGACACTTCCCTCAACATCCCCCATCACATACCCAGCCTCCCTGAGAGCATCAATGAAAGAGTTAAACTGTTTGAAGGTGGTCTCCACACTGTCCAGGAAGCTCTCGTCATCCAGGTAGCTGCTGCTTGACCTCTGTGCCTTCCGCAGAGAGTTCATCTCTTCTTTAAGTCTCTGGTTTTCTATCGTCAGCTGTTGATAAACAGACAGATTATTTCTCAAAGTAAAGTAAAGGACACTATATCAGAGAAGACTTTTTCTATCAGAGAAAACTGTTTATATCAGAGAAAACTGTTTATATCAGAGAAAACTGTTTATATCAGAGAAAACTGTTTATATCAGAGAAAACTGTTTATATCAGAGAAAACTGTTTATATCAGAGAAAACTGTTTATATCAGAGAAAACTGTTTATATCAGAGAAAACTGTTTATATCAGAGAAAACTGTTTATATCAGAGAAAACTGTTTATATCAGAGAAAACTGTTTATATCAGAGAAAACTGTTTATATCAGAGAAAACTGTTTATATCAGAGAAAACTGTTTATATCAGAGAAAACGGGGACACTATATATTAGGACTCGTAATATATCAGCAGGGACACTGTTCATATCAGTGAGGCCTGTTTATATCAGCGCTCTGTTTACATCTGTGAAGACTGTTTACATCAGTGTCAGGGCCCTGTTTATATCAGTGAGGACTGTTTACATCAGTGTCAGGGCCCTGTTTATATCAGTGAGGACTGTTTACATCAGTGTCAGGGCCCTGTTTATATCAGTGAGGACTGTTTACATCAGTGTCAGGGCCCTGTTTATATCAGTGAGGACTGTTTACATCAGTGTCAGGGCCCTGTTTATATCAGTGAGGACTGTTTATATCAGTGTCAGGGCCCTGTTTATATCAGTGAGGACTGTTTATATCAGCAGGGACACTGTTTATATCAGTGAGGACTGTTTACATCAGTGTCAGGGCCCTGTTTATATCAGTGAGGACTGTTTACATCAGTGTCAGGGCCCTGTTTATATCAGTGAGGACTGTTTACATCAGTGTCAGGGCCCTGTTTATATCAGTGAGGACTGTTTACATCAGTGTCAGGGCCCTGTTTATATCAGTGAGGACTGTTTATATCAGCAGGGACACTGTTTATATCAGCAGGGACACTGTTTATATCAGTGAGGACTGTTTATATCAACAGGGACACTGTTTATATCAGCAAGGACTGTTTATATCAGCACTCTGTTTACATCAGTGAAGACTGTTTATATCAGTGTCAGGACCCTGTTTATATTAGTGAGGATTCTGTTTATATCAGTGAGGATTCTGTTTATATCAGTGATGCATCAGATATATGATATGACCCATATTTTTATAGACTAATTAGCACTTACTGAGTGCTGAGATCAACATCACGTCGGTCTCCTTTACTTTCCATTATTTTTCCTGAAACCTATTTTTAGGCTTGGGCAACCAGGAAGCCAAGAAAGATAAAAAAAAAAAACAACCCAATCAGACTCAATGTGGATTTGAACCCAAGACCTCCATATGTGGGTTCCAGGGGATGGAAAACAGAGAATATACCAATTGCCCCCCGACAAGCTCGTTTTAGAAGGTGACTAATTGGGGGGAGGGGGGGGGGGGTCAGTCAGTCGGAGTGTCTCTGAGAGGCAAGTAACTAAACAGTCTGCAGACAAATAAGCCAGATCTGTAAAACGGATGTGCAAACAAAACTTAAGTTCTGGATCAAAATCAAAGTCCAGAAGAGGCTGAATTGGTTCTCAGAGGTATCATAAGGTAGCTGCTGTATGGGAGGACTGAGCAGGCATGGAAACACTCAATGGACATTGCCTATGATAATAAAGCACAACTTGACACAACTAAAATAAAAAACAAACTTACAGTGATCACTTGCTCATCTGCCCTGGCTCGAGCCAAACTCTCTATCTGCAGTTGGCGCCGCATCTGCTCCAGCTCAATCTATTAGAGAAGGAAGGAAAGATCATGTCCTTTTCAGTCAATCAATCAATCAATCAAGTGCTGTCTCCACAATGAAGACTGGCTGCAGTAGATCAATAGAATACTGTTTTTCACCTCAAACTTACTCTCTTGAAACTGCTTTTGCCCATCTCTCAGTGTTATCCTCCTGACTGTATCACTGTCTACCCCTTGCTCACTTGCCTTGAACTTTCCATCTGGTATTCTTTCCACCTTCTTCTTCTGCATGTGCCCTTCAGAGTGCAGTTGGCATGTTGGGTTGCAGGTCACGCTAGATTGCAATATCTGCACAATTTGATCAAATACATCTAGTTTCAACAAAACCTTAATTAGTTACCTTTTACAACATGCTTGCTGGGGAAAGGGGTGTCTAGTTAGCCCCCCCCCCCCTCCCCAAAATGCAACCCAGAAACCCACATCGTCCTTTAGAGTTAATGTGGCTGGCATTTTTCACTTGTCTCATTACTCCCGTCACCAACTCTCTTTTGGCTGACAGTCTCCTCAGAACCTCTGTATTTGGGATGGGTGGAAATGAGGAAGGGGGGAGGGGGGGGGGAGGATAGAAAAGAGCCAGTAACAAGCACATGATAGAAAGTGAAAAATTAGGTATTTACTGAAATCGGATGTGTGGGCCAAAAGGCAAAGATGTCGCAGCCTAAATTTAAACTACAACACAATTTGTCAACTGCCTATTTACAGATAAACACAGAAGAGTTTGTAGTCAATATGAAAGATTTGATAAAGGACTCATTAAGCAGTTGTATTTTATAAATAAAGCATGTTATGTTCATATAATAATATGCATATTATGAATATCAAGCACAAACACAAAAGCATAGGTGGTAAAATGCATATACACACACACACACACACTCACACACACAAACTCACTCACCTCCTACACAAATATATATATATATACATATATATATATATATATATATATATATATATATATATATATATATATATATATATATATATATATATATATATATATATATATATATATATATATATATATATATATATATATATATATATATATATGTTACACACACACATATATATATTTATACACACACATTATATACGTACACACACACACACACACATAAACATCGACATACATACATGCAAATATATGTATGTACATACATCCATCCATACATACATATATAAACATATATAAATATACACATTATATACGTACACCCACACACAGAGACACACAAGAAGAAAAAGGAAGAGGAGGAGAAAGAAGAGCGACACGAGGAGAAAGCACTTTTCCACACACCAAAATAATCTTCTTGTTTGTAAAATCAAGAGCTCTGTGGCTCTCCTGGAGCCGATCCATCGACAGCTTGATCACAGATTCTATATTTCTCAGCTGGGAACTGCCACCGGAGTACACCCATCTATGAGGAGTTGAACTGCTATCAACAAAATTCATGCTGTTGTTGGCATTTTCATTAGCGGTGGAGGCTGTAACATCTGCGGACTGGCTGGTGAGAAATTCCACGGTGTCTGGAGAGTGGTCTCTAGGTAAAGATCAAATATGCATTTGTTAATGATGTTGCTGAAGCATAAAAGAGTTAAATGAAACGAGTGCAGGAAACTTGCAGGGGTCCCTCAACGGGAAGGCCCAGTGTGTGTGACTCGCTGGAAATGTTTAATGTAGGTAGGCCCTTCAAAGGAAACATCCAATGTGTGTGGATTACTGGATGCAAACATCCAATGTGTGTGGATTACTGAATGGAAACATCCAAAACATGACGATTATTTAATAGAATCACCCTTCCTTTCATTTTCTTAGTGTTTGTCCTAAAAAGACAACTGATACATTGCACTGATTTTAAAGCTAGGCTGTGATATCTGCATTTTTCAGCCCAATACATTTCAACCAATTAGTAATTAGTTGTCTATGATGACATGTTTATCGAGGGGTAGTGGGTCTATCAACATCTAGCATGTGTAGATCACTCAAAGGAAACATCAAACACAGTCACTCAAAGGAAAGATAGTTAAAATAAAGAAACATCACATAATAGCCACCAACATAACACTCAATGGAGATAAAGAATAAAGGGACATCATATAAAAGCCACCAACATAACATAGTTACTCAAAAGAGAATAAATGGACATTCAATAATAGCCACCAACAGTCACTTAATGGAGACAGAGAATAAAGGGGACATCATATAATAGCCACCAACAGTCACTCAATAAAGACAGAGAATAAAGGGGACATCATATAATAGCCACCAACAGTCACTCAATAAAGACAGAGAATAAAGGGACATCATATAATAGCCACCAACAGTCACTCAATAAAGACAGAGAATAAAGGGGACATCATATAATAGCCACCAACAGTCACTCAATAAAGACAGAGAATAAAGGGACATCATATAATAGCCACCAACAGTCACTCAATAAAGACAGAGAATAAAGGGGACATCATATAATAGCCACCAACAGTCACTCAATAAAGACAGAGAATAAAGGGGACATCATATAAAAAGCCACCAACAGTCACTCAATAAAGACAGAGAATAAATGGACATTCAATAATAGCCACCAACAGTCACTCAATAAAGACAGAGAATAAAGGGACATCATATAAAAAGCCACCAACAGTCACTCAATAAAGACAGAGAATAAAGGGACATCATATAAAAAGCCACCAACAGTCACTCAATAAAGACAGAGAATAAAGGGACATCATATAAAAAGCCACCAACAGTCACTCAATAAAGACAGAGAATAAAGGGACATCATATAAAAAGCCACCAACAGTCACTCAATAAAGACAGAGAATAAAGGGACATCATATAAAAAGCCACCAACAGTCACTCAATAAAGACAGAGAATAAAGGGACATCATATAAAAAGCCACCAACAGTCACTCAATAAAGACAGAGAATAAAGGGACATCATATAAAAGCCACCAACAGTCACTCAATAAAGACAGAGAATAAAGGGACATCATATAAAAGCCACCAACAGTCACTCAATAAAAACAGAGAATAAAGGGGACATCATATTAAAAGCCACCAACAGTCACTCAATAAAGACAGAGAATAAAGGGGACATCACAAAATAGCCACCTGCATCGGTCGGCTCTAGCAGCTGTTCTCCAAGGTAACCCAGGAACAGGAGAGATGTCCTTCCTGGCCATGACCCCAGGCCCACTGACCTTGCGACGGCAGCTTCCCGAAGCCACCTATACAAGTAACACAATTTTTATGACAACTTGAAAATATAATCAATACACCATCAGACTTATCCCCAATCTCTTCCACACACACACAAAAAAAACTTCAGAGCACATAAGGAAGGAAGAGAGCAGTTTGTCTTATCTCTTTACTTCAAAAGGCTAATAGCATTTGTCGACATAATACAAAAAAGGTAAAGCACCTTTTCCATATATTTGGCGTATCGGGTATATAGAGATATATCTACAGTTTTAATAGAGTAACAGCACTGGACACTTGATGTGGTCAAAATCACACTGACTGCCTTTACTTTCCAGGATATTGCCTAGTACTCATTTTAGTCTGTGTACCTAGTTTCAGTTCTAGTCATCTTCTACTTTTTTTCACATTGCATCTTTTTCTCTATTAGTCTGGCAGCTTTTAGAGGGACACATCCTCTCTGTTGCTTTGGTTTTCCCACTCACTGACTGTACGAAGGGTCTAAATTTGACATTAATAATATAATATAAGGGAAAAAAAGTTTTATTATAAGATTACCTTTGGTCATCATTGGCATATGAAATGATGTTAGTTAATGGAGTTAGTTGCCCTGTTACCCGATTTGTTTTTGTTCATTATATGTTGATTTCTCTACCTATTCGTCCATCTGAAGTGCAAGTATTTAAATACATATGTTTTTATTTGTTTGATTTATGTATTTTTTATAACCTTTAGATGGTTTTTGGTTGTCTACTTATCGCCACTGTCTCTGTTCTTTCAAAACTTATTTTTATACATTTCTCACAACATATGGGAAAATGATACAATAACATGCATTAGGAATAGCAAATGGGAAAATGATACAATAACATGCATTAGGAATAGCAAATGGGAAAATGATAACATAACATGCATTGAGAAAAGCAACTGTGAAACTGACAAAATAGATAATAAAGACTGGGAAAAGCAACTGTAAAGTTAAACAACATGCACTGAAAATAGCAGCTGTGACAATTGTTAAAAAAAAAAAATAATAATTAGGAATATCAATTGTGAGAACAAACAAATCAGTATTCATTAAGAACAGCAACTATGAAACTGATAAAATGACATACAACTGTGAAAAATAAATATTGGCCAAAACATGGCATCATAAATTATGATGCTTTAAAGACCAAATGATCTACCTCACTGCAAACCAAAAAAAATGTATCCCTTACATTTTGATCTCTCTGAGGTAGTCACTCACAGAGAGCATTAATAAAATCAAAAAGTAACATTAACTATAAAGATGTTGAATACTGAATTACGAATCAACATCACAGCACTCAGAACATTCCCATAAGTACTCTATTCCCATCTTCAGCAGCAAGTGCAGAGTTCCAATTCCGATGAAACCAGCAACAGTCTCATTGTACATTTATCTCAGCTTTCTCTTGAGTGTTGAGCCATGACCAAATCCTCTGGTCACTCCTCACAGCACCATTTCATCCAGAGCTACCTCACTCTCAAGGGGCCCTTGCATCTACCACCTCACTCTCAAGGGGCCCTTACATCTACCACCTCACTCTCAAGGGGCCCTTACATCTACCACCTCACTCTCAAGGGGCCCTTACATCTACCACCTCACTCTCAAGGGGCCCTTACATCTACCACCTCACTCTCAAGGGGCCCTTACATCTACCACCTCACTCTCAAGGGGCCCTTACATCTACCACCTCACTCTCAAGGGGCCCTTACAACATCTAGCTTGCCATGCATCAATTCACCACCAAGAGTTGCAGCAGCAGCCAGCCTATATGCCTGTTGATTTCCCAACACACCCGCATGACATGGAGAAAATACCCAAAGGATGCTAACGATCCGGGGCGGCTGAAGCGATCAACATCACCAAAAACATAAAACAAAATACGGGACCATTTTCATGCCATTGGAACATCCGGTATTTGGTGCTAGACATGTTTTTATAGACCAATCAGCATTCACGGGGCGTTGTGGTCAACATCTCGCCCGATATCCTTGACTTCCCAGGACATTTCCTGGTACCTTGTTCAAACTTGATCAACCTGAAAACCTCAGTTATCAAATTATGCAATCAACATATTCACCAAAATGGCATTTGAAATATTAACCAAAAACATGCAGTCATAATATTAACCAAAAGATGCAATCAGAAAATTAACCAAAAACATGTGATCACGATATTAAGTAACAGATGCAACCAGAATAGTAATCAAATATACACAATCATACATTAATAAAAACATGCAACCAGAAAATTAAACAAAATGCAGCATAACTATTAAAAAAAAAAACTGCAATTATAACATTAACCCAATAAATAAAGTCAAAATATTATTCCAAAACCTAAATCACACATGGAAAAAAAATGCAATCAAAACATTAGTTTAAAAAAAAAAAATTTGAATTCTAACATTAACCCAAAATAAAATCATAACACTAGCAACAACCCAAAAAAAAAAAAAAAACCAAGACATGCAAACATCCAGCAAAAAAAAACAAAAACAACAACACCAAATGGGAACTCTGTTCTCGGTACACTCATTGCGAACATTCAACATTTTGAGCCAGAATTGGAAATAAAAAAAGCACAGCCAACAACAAAGAAGTTATCAAACAAAACTCACCCTAGCACAACATGTGCAAGAACATGATCCGGTGGAGCTCTAGAAGGCAACAAGAACACAACAAGAATACAACAAGAATACAGGCCTGTCTGCATGTCTATACCAGTGTGGCTCCACCTTTTAACACCCGTTGGATCCCTGGTTGAAGAACACTGGTCTAGACTGTGCTGTTGTCTTTTGTATGTGAACTAGTACCAACAATTAAGGTAGCTGCCGTACTGTAGTGGCTAGACATTCACCTCCAAGCCAACATTTCTTGGGTTTCAATCCACATCGAGGTGATTTCTTTTTTTCAAAACTGACCTTTGGTGCCATAATGTCACAGTCCAAAACAGGTACCAGGTTATGTCTCGGGAAGTCAAAGTTGTTGGGGTGATGTTGACCGTAGCACCAAATGAGGGTCGCCTGGGCTATACCAATACGAGTCTACCATCAAAGGCTGGCTATACCAATACAAGTCTACCATCAAAGGCTGGCTATACCAATACAAGTCTACCATCAAAGGCTGGCTATACCAATACAAGTCTACCATCAAAGGCTGGCTATACCAATACAAGTCTACCATCAAAGGCTGGGTATAACAATACAAGTCTACCATCACAGACTGGGTATAACAATACAAGTCTACCATCACAGACTGGGTATACCAATACAAGTCTACCATCACAGACTGGGTATAACAATACAAGTCTACCATCACAGGCTGGCTATACCAATACAAGTCTACCATCAAAGGCTGGGTATAACAATACAAGTCTACCATCACAGACTGGGTATAACAATACAAGTCTACCATCACAGACTGGGTATACCAATACAAGTCTACCATCACAGACTGGGTATAACAATACAAGTCTACCATCACAGGCTGGGTATACCAATACAAGTCTACCATCAAAGGCTGGCTATACCAATACAAGTCTACCATCACAGACTGGGTATAACAATACAAGTCTACCATCACAGACTGGGTATAACAATACAAGTCTACCATCACAGACTGGGTATAACAATACAAGTCTACCATCACAGACTGGGTATAACAATACAAGTCTACCATCACAGACTGGGTATAACAATACAAGTCTACCATCACAGACTGGGTATAACAATACAAGTCTACCATCACAGACTGGGTATAACAATACAAGTCTACCATCACAGACTGGGTATAACAATACAAGTCTACCATCACAGACTGGGTATACCAATACAAGTCTACCATCACAGACTGGGTATACCAATACAAGTCTACCATCACAGACTGGGTATACCAATACAAGTCTACCATCACAGACTGGGTATAACAATACAAGTCTACCATCACAGACTGGGTATAACAATACAAGTCTACCATCACAGACTGGGTATAACAATACAAGTCTACCATCACAGACTGGGTATAACAATACAAGTCTACCATCACAGACTGGGTATAACAATACAAGTCTACCATCACAGGCTGGGTATACCAATACAAGTCTACCATCACAGACTGGGTATAACAATACAAGTCTACCATCACAGGCTGGGTATAACAATACGAGTCTACCATCACAGACTGGGTATAACAATACAAGTCTTCCATCACAGACTGGGTATAACAATACAAGTCTACCATCACAGGCTGGGTATACCAATACAAGTCTACCATCACAGGCTGGGTATACCAATACAAGTCTACCATCACAGACTGGGTATAACAATACAAGTCTACCATCACAGGCTGGGTATACCAATACAAGTCTACCATCAAAGGCTGGCTATACCAATACAAGTCTACCATCACAGACTGGCTATACCAATACAAGTCTACCATCACAGACTGGGTATAACAATACAAGTCTACCATCACAGACTGGGTATAACAATACAATTTTACCATCACAGACTGGGTATAACAATACAAGTCTACCATCACAGACTGGGTATAACAATACAAGTCTACCATCAAAGGCTGGCTATACCAATACAAGTCTACCATCAAAGGCTGGCTATACCAATACAAGTCTACCATCACAGACTGGCTATACCAATACAAGTCTACCATCACAGACTGGGTATAACAATACAAGTCTACCATCACAGACTGGGTATAACAATACAAGTCTACCATCACAGACTGGGTATAACAATACAAGTCTACCATCACAGACTGGGTATAACAATACAAGTCTACCATCACAGGCTGGGTATAACAATACAAGTCTACCATCACAGGCTGGGTATAACAATACAAGTCTACCATCACAGACTGGGTATAACAATACAAGTCTACCATCACAGGCTGGGTATACCAATACAAGTCTACCATCACAGACAGGGTATAACAATACAAGTCTACCATCACAGACTGGGTATAACAATACAAGTCTACCATCACAGACTGGGTATACCAATACAAGTCTACCATCACAGACTGGGTATAACAATACAAGTCTACCATCACAGACTGGGTATAACAATACAAGTCTACCATCACAGGCTGGGTATACCAATACAAGTCTACCATCACAGACTGGGTATAACAATACAAGTCTACCATCACAGGCTGGGTATAACAATACAAGTCTACCATCACAGACTGGGTATACCAATTCAAGTCTACCATCACAGACTGGGTATACCAATACAAGTCTACCATCACAGACAGGGTATAACAATACAAGTCTACCATCACAGGCTGGGTATAACAATACAAGTCTACCATCACAGACTGGGTATAACAATACAAGTCTACCATCACAGACTGGGTATACCAATACAAGTCTACCATCACAGACTGGGTATAACAATACAAGTCTACCATCACAGGCTGGGTATACCAATACAAGTCTACCATCACAGACTGGGTATACCAATACAAGTCTACCATCACAGACTGGATATAACAATACAAGTCTACCATCACAGGCTGGGTATAACAATACAAGTCTACCATCACAGACTGGGTATAACAATACAAGTCTACCATCACAGACTGGGTATACCAATACGAGTCTACCATCACAGACTGGGTATAACAATACAAGTCTACCATCACAGACTGGGTATACTACTGGCGTAAAAAGGGTTCTTCACTTGAGTGAGTAATGTAAAGACTGGGAGTTGCCATGGTGTAGCGGCTAGATGTTCACTTTTGGATCGGAAGGTCGTGGGGTGGGTTCGGGTCCTGACAGATCTGGAATTTTCTCCAAAATGACCTTGGCTCCCAGCTTTGAGTGGGTACCACATGCAGTCCTTGGAAGTAAAGGTGGCCGGTGTGATGCTGACCACATCACCCACCAAGTTCTGATAGGTCTATAAAATATAGGTCTAGCCCTGTATGTCCAAAACACTTAAGTGCATGGACAAGGGTTCTTCCCTTTTATTTTATTTTTAATGTAAATGCTGTTTCTGCTAATAAAGCCTGGCCATCAACAGTAAGCAGTCTGTCACCAAAGAGTAGTGTGTTTATATCATAAAGAGTAGTCTTTTTATGTCATAAAGAGTAGTCTTTTTATGTCATAAAGAGTAGTCTGTTTAAGTCATAAAGAGTAGTCTGTTTTTGTCACCAAACAGTAGTCTGTTTATGTCACCAAAGAGCTGTCTGTTTGTGTCACCAAAGAGTTGACTATTTATGTCATCAAAGAGCAGTCTGTTTGTGTCACTAAAGAGTTGACTGTTTATGTCACCAAAGAGTATTCTGTTTATGTCATAAAGAGTGGTCTCTTTATGTCACTAAAGAGATGTCTGTTTATGCCACCAAAAAGTTGACTGTTACCAAAAAGTAGTCTGTTTATGCCATAAAGAGTATTCTCTTTATGTCACCAGAGAGTTGTCTGTTTATGTCACCAAAGAGTTGACTATGTCATCAAAGAGTTGACTGTTTATATCATCAAAGAGTTGACTGTTTATATCATCAAAGAGCAGTCTGTATCACCAAAGAGTTGTCTGTTTATGTCACCAAAGAGTAGTCAGTTTATGACATAAAGAGCAGTCTCTTTATGTCACCGAAGAGTTGACCGTTATGTCACCAAAAAGTTGACTGTTTATGTCACCAAAGAGTTGGCTGTTTATGTCATCAAAGAGTTGCCTGTTTATGTCACCAAAGAGTAGTCTGTTTATGACATAAAGAGTAGTCTCTTTATGTCACCTAGGAGTTGTCTTTTTATGTTACCAAAGAGTTGACTGTTTATGTCACCTAAGAGTAGTCCATTTATGTCATAAAGAGTAGTCTCTTTATGCCACCAAAGAGTTGTCTGTTTATGTCATCAAAGAGCAGTCTGTTTGTGTCACCAAAGAGTTGACTGTTTATGTCACCAAAGAGTTGACTGTTTATGTCATAAAGAGTAGTCTGTTTATGTCACCAAAGAGTAGTCTGTTTATGACATAAAGAGTAGTCTCTTTATGTCACCTAGGAGTTGTCTTTTTATGTCACCAAAGAGTTGACTGTTTATGTCACCTAAGAGTAGTCCGTTTATGTCATAAAGAGTAGTCTCTTTATGTCACCAAAGAGTTGTCTGTTTATGTCATCAAAGAGCAGTCTGTTTGTGTCACCAAAGAGTTGACTGTTTATGTCACCAAAGAGTTGACTGTTTATGTCATAAAGAGTAGTCTGTTTATGTCACTAAAGAGTAGTCTGTTCATGTCATAAATAGTAGTCTCTTTATGTCACAAAAGAGTTGTTTGTTTATGTCACCAAAGAGTTGAATGTTTATGTCACAAAAGAGTTGTCCGTTTATGTCATCAAAGAGCAGTCTGTTTGTGTTACCAAAGAGTTGTCTGTTAATATCACCAAAGAGTAGTGTGTATGCCTCTAAAGAGTACTCTGTTATGTCACAAAGAGTAGTCTGTTTATGTGACAAAGAGTAGTCTGTTTATGGTACCAAAGACTAGTCTATTATTTCCCTAAAGATAAATTTGTTTATGTCACCAACACCTTAGCCTGCTGATGTTAAAAATATTTTTGCTTCTGAGGTTGACATCTTTGTTTTTATTGTCAATGTGACAGATAAACAGAGGTGGCGATAAGACACATTCTTGTGTTACTCATGTGTTACACCAATGTTACTGTGAATGGTTATGATGTTATTTCATTTATTCTAACCACACTTCTGTAATCTCTGTATAAACATTTCCACTACTTCACAATGAGCACTTATTCTCCATGACAGTCGTCTTCAATGGTAAATGCTCAAACCCCTTTTTTTCTTCTTTTTTCTTCAATTAGAAAAACAAAAACACTTTAATGCTTGTTTTCATTAAATCTATAAAGTACCTTACACACCATCACCCCCCCCCCCCCCCCCCCCCCCCAAAAAAAAATCACCTTAATGTATTTTCTTCCAATTCAAATAAATACATTGATACTAGTTTTCTCCAAGTCCATAAAAAGCCATCTTAATGGTGTAATTAAGGAGTGGGTTTTTATTAAAAAGTTACCCTTTTGGTAGTTTACTTCAAGGAAAAAAAAGGGGGAGGGGAAGGGGAGATCACTTTAATGGCAGGTATGTAAGATAAAAAATAAAAAACATTTATGATAATTTCTTTAAATGCAGTTTTAAAATAACTCACTTTAATGGTAGTTTTCTTCCCAAAACTGGAATTAAGGACTTTGGTAGCCCTACGTCTGGTCCTCAACGTCTGCTTCATTGACTGCTGCTCTGGTGGATCTGCTGTCATCCACTTGTACTGAAATATAGATTTTAAACACAAATGCCAAGCACAGAAACTCATTTTTGCTCATCTTCTGACCCCATGACCATCATAGTCCCACTCCATCTGTAGCTGGGACACCAGTTGCTGCAGACTGACTGATCAGCTCCTTCTGCCCCTGTCAGTCAGATGCAGTGGACTCGTCTCAGGCCTGTCTATTCAGCCAAATTCTGTATCCAGGTCTTTCTTTGTCTGCCTTCTCTCATTTCCTCTCAATAGAGTCCTCTAGTATTATTGTGGACAGGCCGGTAGGTCTTGTTACATATCCGTACTATCGCATTTCCCATCTTTTCACTGGTGTTAAAAGAGCTTCACAGTTGCCAATGTCATGAGTGACGACACTGTGAACTTTCTGGTCCCATAACCCTATTATCTCCTAGCAGATTCCAGAGCCTGTTTCTAAGCTGGGAAGAGAACAGACTTACTGCCCCCCCCCCCCCCCCCCGACAAAAATGTTACAGGTTTGAAGATTTGAACAACGGATCACCAACATGGCACACGGGTAGTAAACCATAAGTGCTCCTTCTAACTCAAGCTTGAGTCCAAAGAAGCTCAGCACAGTGCACAGACTGTGTAGCGCCAGTGAGGATCCTGAAATACTTTGGGTAGATTTTTGACTCTTAATTTTGCCTGGGCAGCGTCGTAAGGTTATTCTTTTCAATTTCCAACTGTCAAGGGATTGTTTACATGCGCAACAATGCACACAGTCATCCGATCTCATTACCCAAAGACCAAGGGAAATACTAGAAGTCCAAGTCTACGTGAAGAAATCCCAGCTCTTACCAGGGATTGAACCCGGATCCCCTAGCACTCAAGGCAGACATCATGCTTCAAGACCACACAGACCCCTAAAAAATGTCATCAAGGTGACTAATTAAGGATTTAGTGAAAAGGAATATGTTAGGCAGAATGGTGCAGATATCACAGCCTGGCTGTAAACCACAACATAATGTGCCAACCACCTTTTGAGGGTAAATACAGAAGAAGAAGTACCACATCTCACAATATGCCACATGAAAGTGGCTCTAAAGGTTATAGGCTGGGTTTCAGACTCAGTCCTTCGGTTCACAAGTGCAAATGTTTCATAGATCCTTCACGGTTATTGCTGAATTTCAGCCTCATCCTGTGTGTGATGCTCTCAGCAGATGAAAGCAGAAGGAAACTGTGCCCTACTGCAGGGCTTTTCAACTCAGTTTACTCCATGGCCAGCCATTTTTTTTATGGGGTTCATCATGGGCCAGACTTGAGCTCCAGCATGGAAAGATCATTAATGCAATACCTCTGGTAAAGATCCATGGGTCACTTGCTAGGCCTCTGTGGGCCACATTGAGCCTACGGGCTGCCAGTTCAATAGCTCTGCCATACATGATCAAACCCAGTGAAATGAAGTTGATTCCCTCCCTGTTTAACACCTTTACGGATGCAGAGGTACTAAACCCCACGTGGTGCACGTCCCAGCACCAGGGTTGACGCCTGTCAACACCTGCCTGCCCCTCTCCGTGGTCATCCTAGACGCAGGTTCCCCACCTGAGGGCCTGGCCAACATAGATAGCAGCAGTGTTTTTTTACAGGCAGGTGTACATCTGTCTGAGCGGCAAGGAATCAACAATCTGCACACAAATCTGTAAAACAGATGTGCATGTGAAACTCAGCCCTGGAACTAGACACAAGTCTAAAAGTGGAGAATAACCTGGGATTTCTGCCAAAGTTGACAGCTAGTGAACATAAAAAAGAAGAAAAAATAAATACCTTTAAACTTGTACTTCCTCTGGCCATTCAAGAGGGGGTCATTGACATCCCCCAGTATTCCAAAGAGTATGTGAAAAAGAGCATTTAATTTCAAAACAGACTCCAAATATTTTTTAGCAATCCTAGAGGAGTTCAGTGGTATCTCCAAATAGGCCAAATGGTACGCAAACATGTCTACTTTATTTTAACACGCATCCCATAGAAATCTGGCCATCTTAGTAGAATTCAAGGCATCCTGCAGCATGCCAAGTAGTACATAAACAAGACTATTTCAATTCAAAACAGACTCTAAATACCTACCCACAGAGCATGTTGAGAAAAGTGGAGACAGGTATGCTCCATGCAGCCTCGCTTCAGAGGTCCCGGGTAGTTAGTATCTTTTGGATATTCTCTCCAGGTTATGCCGGTGTGTTGGGAAATGACCAGGCAGATAGACTGGCTGGTTCTGTACCCCTTGGTGTTTAACTGATGTATAACAAACTAGATGCTGTGAGGGCCCTCTGAGAACGAGTAAACAGTGTGGAAGCACAAATAGATCATTATGGTCTGAGGAGAATGGTGCTGCAAGGAGTTATCAGGGGATCTGGCCGGCGCTCAACCCTCAAGGAAAGTATGAGACGGATATACAATCAGACAGTTAATAATCCTATCGGAGTTTTGACTCTTCTTTTACTGCTGATAATGGGGACAGAGCACTTATGGGCGTGTCCCAAGTGCTATGATGTGAATTCCTAATACAACATTTAACATTCTAAATACCTTATGGTCATCTCTAGAGCAGTTCAAGGTATCTTGTCAAATGCCAATTAGCATATAAACATGTCTACTTTATTTTAAAACACAAATAACAAAAATACCTCTTGGTCATTTCCAGAGGAATTCAATGCCAGGCGTTCCATCACAGAGCGCAAGATGGCCACGTCTGAATGTAACGAAACAGAAAAACATTCAGAATCACTTATACCCAATGACCACACAATACACAAGCTCCCAGTATTTGCACTTTTCACAATTGATATTTCCTTTGATGTTTCATGGCTCCTAAGGCTAGTTATTTTCCCATATATTTCCTGGTGGCTAGCTGTTTCCCCAAGATGTTCACAACTGGTTGTGTATCCTTTACATGATGCTGCACATCTCATCTCATCATTTTTGGACTGTTTGTGTTTTCACTAAGCAATTTTACATTCAGTAGTTTGCCACTGCTTTCTGGATGGCCGGCCGGCTGGCTCTTTATTTCACTGCTGAAACCAATGCAAGGCGGTCTGCTGTCAAATCAGCCAAAGCTGGGACTGAATCTGACACCCCAGAATTATGCAACATATTTGCCAGACCCAAGTTACAGATGCTAACATAACAAGTACATAACTACATTTTTCATAGCAATTTGCCAATATTATTATAAATATGCGATTTTCCAGTTTTTTCCTGATTATTGTTCAACAATATCTCCCACAGCTGGTGTATATCAGTATCTTATTCTCTCACAACTGGTTTTTGTATCTCATTATCTCTCACAGCCAGTATATCTCATTCTCTCACAGATGGTATACCCCATTATCTCTCACAGCTGGTATATGTATATCATTATCTCTCACAGCTAGTATATCTCATTCTCTCTCACAGATGGTATATCTCCTTATCTCTCAGGGCTGGTATATCCCATTATCTCTCAGGGCCGGTATATCCCATTATCTCTCACAGCTGGTATATCCCATTATCTCTCACAGCTGGTATATCCCATTATCTCTCACAGCTGGTATATCCCATTATCTCTCACAGCTGGTATATCCCATTATCTTTCAGGGCTGGTATATCCCATTATCTCTCAGTGCTGGTATATCCCATTATCTCGCAGGGCTGGTATTTCCCCTTATCTCTCAGTGCTGGTATATCTTATTATCTCTCAGGGCTGGTATATGCCATTATCTCTCACAACTGGTATATCTCATTATCTCTAACAGCGGGTATATCTCATTATCTCTAACAGCTGGTATATCTCATTATCTCTAACAGCTGGTATATCTCATTATCTCTAACAGCTGGTATATACCATTATCTCTAACAGCTGGTATATCCCATTATCTCTCAGGGCTGGTATATCCCATTATCTCTCAGGGCTGGTATATCTCATTATCTCTAACAACTGGTATATCCTATTATCTCTTGCAACTGGTATATCTCATTTTCTCTCACAGCTGGTATCTTATTATCTCTCACAGCTGGTATCTTATTATCTCTTACAGCTGGTATCTCATTATCTCTCACAATTGGTATATGTCACTATCTCTCACAGCTGGTATCTTATTATCTCTCACAGCTAGTATATCATTATCTCTCACAATTGGTATATCTTACTATCTCTCACAGCTAGTATCTCATGATCTATCACAGCTGGTATCTCATTATCTCTCATAGCTGATATATCTCATTATTTGCACAGCTGCTACTACTACTTAACAGCAATAACTCACCAACTAAAGGATTTCTCTGAATGTCAAGCGCCACAGTAACAGGCAACAAAACACAAAACAACAACAACACCAAACAACAACAACACAAAACAACAACAACACAAAACAACAACAACAACACAAAACAACAACAACAACACAAAACAACAACTCACCAACTAAAGGATTTCTCCGAATGTCAAGCACCACTAGTGAAGTGTTAAAACTTAAAATCTCCAAGAAGCTTCGGGCACCTTGGTTGCCAATCCCACAGGCCTGCAAGTCTAGGGCTGGAATGACAGACACATCAATACAAATTGGAGTTGAATTATTCTATCATCATCCTCATCATGATAACAATAACATGACTGCGTGACCTGGGAGTGAAGCATGGTGAAACATGTATGTGTCACCTTCAAGGTAAAGATAGGAGACAGAAAAGAACACTGAATATTAGCAGAACTTATTTGTAGCATTTGTAGACCAGGAGAAAGCTTTCGACGGGGTCGATCTACACAAATTATGGAAAGTAATGGCTCGATATGGAGTAAGTGAACACCTCATTGAAGTTTGCAAAAGCTCATATAGCGACAATAGAAGCGTAGTTAGAATAAATCAGAGATCATCTAAACCATTCAAAGTAACATCTGGAATAAGACAAGGATGTGTCTTATCACCGCTCCTGTGTATCACCAACACTGACAGTATAGGCAAGGATGCCAGGCCCAGGAACGAAAATAATTATAACACCAATGAATTACTCTTTGCTGATGACCAGGCCTTGATTGCAGATACATCCATGAATTTGTAACAGCATTTTATATCCATGAATGAAGAATGTATATCAAAGAATATAAGAATCAACATAGCCCCCGTGTGGGTTCCGGGGCCCTATTGTGGGGAAAACAAGAATAGACCCACTGCCTCCCCAAAAGCATGTCGTAAGAGTCGACTAACTGGGGAGCTTCCTTTGAAGTCGGAGTGCATCTGCCTGAGAGGCAAGGAACCAGCAGTCTGCATTCAATTGAATCAGATCTGTAAAACTGATGCACACGCAACACTCAGGTTCTGGAACAGGACTGCAGTCCAGAAGTGGACGAACAACCAGAACTTTACACCAGAGTTTACAGCTGGTGAACGCAAAGAAGAAGAAGAAGAAGAAGAAGAAGAAGAATCAACATAAAAAAGACAGAAGTCATGTCAATAGGAAGAAAGAAGCAGAATTTAAACATAGCATTAAAGCATACATATATTAAACAGGCACCTGAGTTTAAATATCTTGGAAATAAATTCACTAAAGATGGTTAATAGGACAAAGAAATTGACATCCGATGCAGTAAAGCAGGCCAAGTATTGGGACAACTGACCACCTCTTACAGCATAAGGCAGTCTTAATCAGCACAGAGAAACATCTCATACAAAGCATATCCTCTATTCATTCCCAGCCTATGCTACAAGTGCCAGACGTGGTCACTCACTCAAAAACATAACAGAAAATTAGTAACCATGGAAATGAGGTGTCTGAGAAAGACCGTAGGAGTGACCAGGAGAAATAAAATAAGGAATTAGGTCATACGAGATAAAGTCGGCCCAGAACCAATTCTAAATTACATACAAAGACAACAAATCAAATGTTTTGCCAACCTGGAGAGAATGCCTTCTGATGCCATACCATACAAGGCAGATACCAAAAGAGGAGAGGGACATAGAGCAAGAGGTACACCAAGAACAATATGAGAAGATAACATCAGAGAAACTCTACAGCAGCAGGAGGTGTCTATGGTCGAAGCAGCCAGAAGAGCACGAAGCAGGACCTTATATCTCTCTCTCTCTCGACACCCGAAGGGGCGAAAGAGGACGCAAAGAAGAAGAGGAAGAAGACTGGAGACACTATAACCAGCTCCTCATTGGAACAAGGAGCAGAGGTAGCCCAGAGTGGTTGCTGCATCAGAGACTGGACTGAGCAAACATGTTAATGCCCAAATGTACAGTGACATCGTCAAATGTGGTCACATAACATGAAATATACCCTTTGTAGAACACAGATGTCACCACTCTAAAGATGTAGTGTCCAGACTGGCTCACACCAGCCCATCCCCAATGCATGGGAGAAAACGTCTGTCAAAGCTCATTTAGAACATCATTAAATTCCGCTAGCCCAAACTACTCCTAAATGACAACCCTTGGTTAAAATGTCTGTCTAGTGTGAAGAACTACTGTACTGCTGAGATCCAGCCTTATAACAAGAGATTTGCTCACAGCCTAGAAGAGCGGGCGGCAACTCGCGGAATATACTGTTTCCGTTCATTCTTTGCTGTTCTTTGCTTAACGTCGCCGTCAACGCGATGAGGTACACCACGACAATCTGCCGCTGTCAGTGTGCTGGCTTGACATAAATGTTGCTCCCAGCTGATCTCCGGAGGGCACAGCCCGTAACAATGGGAAAGCTCAACATACGAATGTGAGGTTAAGCAGTCATATGCAGGACATGACGATTCCTTGGGTGAGCCTACAACCAGAGCACCGTGTGTCGGCTCTGCATTTATGGAAGCCTCCTTAGATAGATGGGAATGTTTATGATCTGCAAAACTTCATACCCTAATAGATTCTTGGCCTTTTAGCTAAGATCAAAGATGTAAAGGCACAGAAGATAATTCCAGAAGAAAGCAAGACAGTTTCAAAGAAGTCAATGATAAAGCAAGACGGATCCTCACAAGGATGAATGAAATACGCAAGAATTTAGACAATGACATCAAAACATTCAGGGAACTAATAGCAGAAAGAATAGCACTACTGAAAATTTTGCAAAAACAACAAAATTAAAGGGATAAAGAAAGTAGATCCAAACAATTTCCATCAGTCAAGAAAAATAGTAGAAAGAAAACAGAAGACAAGCCAAAAGAAATAACAACCAAAGAGTCAACCAGCAAGGGGTACAACGACTTCGATGCAGCAATAGACATGGCATTTCCACGCAAAACGTCAAGATGAACGAAGACCGATCGACAAGCACGAGTACAATACGGAAAGAGATCGAGAGAATAGATGGGGAGAGAATAAAAAAAAAAAAAAACCATTATCACCGGAGAGAAAACAAACAAATCCTAAGCAGCAAGCAATTAAGACGAGACCAGACACAGAGGGAGGAGGCTGGAAAGACAAGACTACACACAAATCCATGCAGTGATTAATTCCCATTAACCAGCTAAGTACCCAAAGATGTTATCAAGTGGAAGCAAATAGCAGCAAGGAAAATATGAGAATATATTAACCAATAACAATAAAGAATCATCATGAAAGAGAACGATCAAATACCTCGCAATGGCCTCGGCAGGGATGGAACTAGAAGAAATCAACAGAAACAATTTTTTGCCAGATGTGTCCTGACAAGGAACACTCCTTGTGGGGAACGAAACCATACTACACAATAAGAAAGTACAGCGGGTACCTACCTCCTTTGAAACCCGCACCGACATGTTACAAGAATACAACAGACAAGAAGAATCACCATCAGATAAACGTCCTCTGACAAGACACAATGCAACCACAGAAAACCTAATCAGAACACGCACATCACAAAAAAAGATCACAATTATAAGCAGAAGCTCAGATGAGCTTAAATGCTTGAGCGCGATTAAATTATTGTTTTCGTGTTTCAACAGACCTAAGACATCCAGGGGCAACAACTGTAGATAAGGGGACAAAGAGAACATGACATAAATAACGTCATCACATGTCCATGTCCCACGAAACTATCCGGGTAGTTAACCCGGTCAACAAAGTTGGATGTGTTGGCTGAAAGGCGCAAATATCGCAGCTCTGCTGTAAACAGGCACAACGCATTTACGTTACTAAGAAGAACGAAAAGAAGAACAAAAAAGGGGACAGGGCAAGAAAAGACAGGATAATACAGGTGAGGGCAAGACAGGAAATGAGAAGAACAGACAGGACAAGACAGGACTGACATCTCACCTTTCAGCCAAAGATCGTCCCTGAGAGCTTCAGCCAGGACCTGGGCTCCCTCGTCCCCTAACATGGGGTTGTTGTTAGCTGTGATTCTACGGAGGCCGGACATGCGACTCAAGTCTGGTCTGCGGTACCGGAGACTGTCTTGCCAGGCTTCACTGTGGCGCTGCATTCCTTGGTGCTGTGGAAGACAAGAAGTCTTGATCAATTTTGTTGGAGGAAAAGAACATACTTGATCAGTTTTGTTGGAGGAAAAGAACATTAGTGATCAATTTTGTTGGAGGAAAAGAACATGAGTGATCAGTTTTGTTGGAGGAAAAGAACATTTTTGATCAGTTTTGTTGGAGGAAAAGAACATTTTTGATCAGTTTTGTTGGAGGAAAAGAACATGTTTTGATCAGTTTTGTTGGAGGAAAAGAACATTTTTGATCAGTTTTGTTGGAGGAAAAGAACATTTTTGATCAGTTTTGTTGGAGGAAAAGAACATTTTTGATCAGTTTTGTTGGTGGAAAAGAACATTGTTGATCAGTTTTGTTGGAGGAAAAGAACATTGTTGATCAGTTTTGTTGGAGGAAAAGAACATTGTTGATCAGTTTTGTTGGAGGAAAAGAACATACTTGATCAGTTTTGTTGAAGGAAAAGAACATACTTGATCAGTTTTGTTGGAGAAAAAGAACATACTTGATCAGTTTTGTTGGAGGAAAAGAACATACTTGATCAGTTTTGTTGGAGGAAAAGAACATACTTGATCAGTTTTGTTGGAGGAAAAGAACATACTTGATCAGTTTTGTTGGAAGAAAAGAACATACTTGATCAGTTTTGTTGGAGGAAAAGAACATACTTGATCAGTTTTGTTGGAGGAAAAGAACATACTTGATCAGTTTTGTTGGAGAAAAAGAACATACTTGATCAGTTTTGTTGGAGGAAAAGAACATTGTTGATCAGTTCTCTTGGGAAAGAAGAGGAGTCTAGATTAATTCTGTTAGAGAAGAAGAGAAGTGTTGATTCGTTTTGTTGGAGGAAAAGAATATTCTTGATCAGTTTTGTTGGAGGAAAAGAACATTGTTGATCAGTTTTCTTGGAGGAAAAGAACATTGTTGATCAGTTTTGTTGGAGGAAAAGAACATACTTGATCAGTTTTGTTGGAGGAAAAGAACATACTTGATCAGTTTTGTTGGAGAAAAAGAACATACTTGATCAGTTTTGTTGGAGGAAAAGAACATACTTGATCAGTTTTGTTGGAGGAAAAGAACATACTTGATCAGTTTTGTTGGAGGAAAAGAACATACTTGATCAGTTTTGTTGGAGGAAAAGAACATACTTGATCAGTTTTGTTGGAGGAAAAGAACATACTTGATCAGTTTTGTTGGAGGAAAAGAACATACTTGATCAGTTTTTCTTTGGAGAAAAAGAACATACTTGATCAGTTTTGTTGGAGGAAAAGAACATTGTTGATCAGTTCTCTTGGGAAAGAAGAGGAGTCTAGATTAATTCTGTTAGAGAAGAAGAGAAGTGTTGATTCGTTTTGTTGGAGGAAAAGAATATTCTTGATCAGTTTTGTTGGAGGAGAAGAGAAGTCTTGGTCAGTTCTGTTGAAGGAGAAGAGTTGATCAGTTCTGTTGGCTGTTCCATCAACCTTGCCTGTTGTAACAGAGTTCTGGAGTCTATTATTTCTCACATTCCAAAAGACAAAGCCCCTGCTTAATTTCTCTAATCGGTTTACGACTGCCGTCTGTCTCCAAGACGATAGCTTCGTTCTATGCTTTCACGACATTGTCTGCATGCTTCTCAAAAACTACACATCTCTACCTAGGCGTGGCTCAGCTTGCCTGCTATGCGAACGACACACATAAAAAAAAAATGCCACACAAAGAATGGAGATGTATCCGAGGACTGACTGAGATAAAGGTAGAGAGAAGGCTGACACAAAAGAAGAAAACTGAATGAGAAGAACTTGACAAAGAAACCTGTATGGATGTGAAAAAGAGGAAATAAAAGAGAAATGTGAAAAAGAGGAAAAAAAAGAAAAGAGGAAGAAGGATAAAAAAAAAAGTAGAAGTCAAAGGAGATGGGCTAGAAAGAAAGAATAAAGAAGAAGAAGACAGTAGAAGAATAGCAAAGCAAAATAAAGAAAATGAGGAAAGCTGAGGAACAGAATAAGGCGAAGATAGATATAAAAAGAGCATGCCGAGAAGATTAAAACAAGGAAGAGAAATCAACTAAAACATTTTTTTTTTTCAAACATAGGTGGGAGGAGAGAATAAAGGAACCAAATCTGGACATGCCAAATTTCTTATACACCTCGAACAATATAACGACATTCTGGAGCATTTCCACGTCTGCAGCAGATATCCGGTATGCAAACACTGGATAACACAAATGTTTACACGGGAATTCCCAGAGAAAAAAAAGTCTCGTAATCAGCAAAGCTTCCGGTTTAAATGCATCATGTCGGGCAGCTGAAGAAAAACATGTCCAGTGGAGACATGCGAACGTCAAGAACGATTACGTCAAGGATCAGTGCAAACATACACAGGGATAGAAGGCGGTGCATCGTTTTTCTTCTTGGCGATCACCGACTGTAAACTGCGGCGGGAAGTTCTGGTTGTTTGTCCATTCCTGGACTTACTCTTGGTCAGGGACGTGGGGACTGTGTGCATATTCGTTGTACAGATCTGGCTTATGTGTATGCAGACTGTCCATATCTCGCCTCTCAGACAGATGCACTCTGATTTATAAGGAAGCTTTGATCCTATACCTGCTGCCCAGGCACCCGTTATCACCTGTTAACTACGATGACCGCAGTTTGAACCCTGACCCTGTGACACCACCATATGTGGTTCAACCTGGTACCTCCTAAAAGTGAACAGTGATTAAACCTCGCAGCACGTCGGTGGGGGGGGGGGGGGGGTGGGTCTGTTGAGCTGCGCTCTAAAAGAGCTGTGAGTTTGGGTTTCGGACTCTGTTCATCCGACTCTGTTTTGGAGATCAACAGGCGTCGTCGCTTGGGCTACGAGGTTTTGTTCTTGGTGGGACGCTCCAAGAGAGAGAGAGAGAGAGAGAGAGAGAGAGAGAGAGAGAGAGAGAGAGAGAGAGAGAGAGAGAGAGAGAGAGAGAGAGGAGAGAGAGAGAGAGAGAGAGATAGAGAGAGAGAGAGAAGGGGGACGGCAAGTGAAAAAAATTCTTCTGCTTCTTCTTTCGTTCGCCTGAAATAAGTTGTCTATATCAGCAAATTTGTCTCTTGTATAAATTTCACTGTTGTTGTTAGTTCATTCAGTGGTCCCTGGAGTTTACGTTCCACTGTTGTTCTTTCCGGCCAAAAGATTGGCCTTACTGTGTCAAATTTGGTGCAGTCCTGGAGTACATGCTCTGCTGTCTGAGGGACCTTTTCACAGGTGCACATGGCTGATACGCCTATCTTTAATTTTGTGTACATGTAAAATAAATAAAACCCGATGAAATTAAGGCCTTTTCTTTAATCGCTAATTCGGTGTCTTGTGTAATCTCTCTCTCTCTCCCCACCCCCTCCCCCTCCTCTATGTTTCTCGCTCTTTCTCTGTTTCACACATAAAGTTAATTGCATATCCTTTACAGGACTTTGCAGAACCAACCCTAGCAAATTGTGTGTTTGTGTGTGTGTGGCTCTTGTGGTTTTTCTAGACAAATTTTACGCTCAGTAGTTTGCCCCTGCTCCAGAACGGTCAGCTCTCGGTATAGCTGTCGAAACCAACGCAAGACAGACCGTCCGCAGCTGGGATCGAACCGGCACCCCAGCATTACAAAGCGCGTTCGTCTAGAGTTTCTTGATTTGTGACCTGAAATAGTTTAGTGTTTGAGATTGTATCTGGCCAGAAAAGTTGATAATTTTACGTAGACATGTGTGGTGGAAGGTTGTGTACATCCTTTTTGGTCATTCTCCAGCATTCTGCTCCATAAAGAAATATGCCAGGCAATAAATTGTGCAATTTATTGTTTGTGTCTTCTTTGTTCAAATTTACAACGGGGAAACATTGCTAAGATTTTGTATAGTTGAGACGTCAGCGTGACGTTACCCAAACTGGCACAAAATGTCCCTCAGCGTCACGAATCTAAAAAAAAAAAGCCATTTACTGCAGATTTACCATCACAGTCCGTGTTTCTGTCTGCTGGTGAAATATTTCTAACTACAATGCTCATTTTATCTTTCGTAACTATGTCTTAATGGGGAAACTCACTGGTTCTACATTAACATTTGCATTGAATTTTATTTTTCCTTCACAGGACAAATAATTCGGTGACTTGGACCCACGATTCTGACGTAATGGACAAGATGGCGGCAAGCACTTTCGATTGGACCTTGAAGTACCAGGTTTCTGCCAGATTTTTTGATCAGGTCGCTCATTTAAAAACTCTAGTACGGAATGCAAGCACGACTCGGGCAAAGTCGACGGAGTTCTTATTGATTTTCTCTTGTTTCATTCTGGTAATTCTACAGAATGTTGGTTTGTCCTGTTGATTGTATTTGGCCTTTTTCCTTTCTTTCTAATTTTGCCTGTTTAAATCGCGGCTTCTTGCCATTTTCTTCTTTGATTTTCTATGTTTTTTCTTTGTCTATTCTCTCTCTCTCTCTCTCTCTCTTTCGCCCTCTCTCTCTCCCTTGCTCTCTCTCTCCCTCTATCTCTCCCCCCTCTCTCTCTCACTCTCTCTCTCGCCCCCGTCCGTTTCTCCTTTGTTTCTTTCTTTATAATTTCAATTTTTATTTATTTCTGTCTTTTCAATTTGTTTTATTTCTTTCTTTGTCATTTCTCTTTGTACTTGTTTCTTTCGTTTTCTTTATAACTTTGTGTATTTCTTGAAGTTCTATCCTGCCTGTATGCTTGTCTGTCCCTTCTTCATTTCTGCCCTCCCTTCCCGCACGACTTTTGTCACACACATACATACACACACACACACACATACACAGACACACTATGTGATGAAAGCATAACTTTTCTGCTCCTCTTTTCCGCCTGTCTTTGATCTCTCTCTCTCTCTCTCTCTCTCTCTCTCTCTCTCTCTCTCTCTCTTACACACATACACACACAGAAACGTTTCCACCTTAAACGTAAGATGGCCGACACTGCTGTATGGCCCCCTTGTGCGTGTTCTCCTCGTCAACCTGCTATACTCGCTTATACAGAACGACGCTCACACGGATACATA